TAGAGGCAAAGACTATGGGATTAAGTTTTAGAAGTAAAATCTAATAGATTCTAGTCTACATCTGCGTGCTCAGTTGCTCCGTCGTCGTGCCCAACTCTCTGTGACCTCATGGACTGCAGCCTGCCAGGCTCCTCTGTCCAGGGGATTTCCCAGGCAAGAATTCTGGAATGGGCTGCCATTTCCTCCTCCAGAGGACTTTCCCGACCCAGGGACGGAAACTGCATCCTTTATGTCTCCTGCATTGGCAGGCAGATCCTTTACGATTGAGCTGTCTAATCTGTATCTATCTATCTATAAATAACACATTCCCACCCATGAAACGAGATGGTACAACTGGCCCACTGTCACGTGAGCACTCACTATGGTGGAGGCTTTTCCCAGTTAGAATTGACTTAAATGGGTTCATCATATTGTTTTGCCACATTTTCCATACCATCCATTACCTACACACTTGTTGAGTTTTCAGTATTGAAGCACTAAAAACGATTTCGAATTTGCAAAGGGTAGTAAATATTATTTAAAAAAATAAGAGCATGCTAGTTCATGACACGATGAACTAGCTCAATAATTCATCTGTCCCTAGGTCTCTAAATAATGAATAGCTACCTGGGTAACAGAAGGATTTGAAGATGCTTTGGAATTATCAAGTAAGCAGTTCAGATTTGGAAAGGCTTGACAAAAGCCAAAAGAAACATTTCCTCAAAAAAACTAGAATTCTAACTGAAAAAGCAGAAATCTGATGCAAATTGAAATATAAATAAATGCAAATAAAAGTGATATTGCCTTGTGGGGGTCAGTGGGAGGGGTCTTTCATTTTTTTATATATCTAGGCCAAAAATCAATCAATAAATAAAACAATTAAACAAAAGAAGAAATTCAACAAGAGGTCTTGCCTTTAGTTAAGTTCCCTCTATATAAATACATATAGGATCAAGAAGATAAAATCTTCTTGGGCTTCTTAGGGACTTCCCTAGGGGTTTAAATGGTAAAGAACTCACCCGCCAATGCAGGAGACATAGAAGATGCAGGTTCAATTCCTGGGTCAGGAAAATTCCCTGGAGTGAGAAATGGCAACCCACTCCAGTATTCTTACCTGGACAGAGGAGAGCAGGCTACAGTCCATGGGGTCACAAAGTCAGACACAACTGAGCAACGAAGCACAGCACATACAGGACCAAGGAGATTAAATCTAACCAGGTTCAATTCTAGATCCCCAGGAATTTAAAACTCCCCATCTCCCAATTTGACAAATGCCTGAACTGAGGGCAAAAAAAGAGAGATCAAATAAGCTGTAGCATTCAGATTGGAACCTAGGGCTCCTGACTTTTAGTTACTGGATTTCTTCATTCTATCACATTGCCAGTGAGTTTATTCTCAAGGCTATGTAGAAACATGGAAAATGTCCAGACATAACATTAAGTATAAAAAAGTAGGGTACAAAATCAGAGGCAGTGCAGCGTTAGTCACACTTAGTGAATCTCAGCTCTGCCCCTTACTAATTCCATGACCTCAGGGTCAACCACTCCCATCCAAAAGGAATAACAGTATTTATCTCACAAGACTGTTAAATAGGCTAAATAGGAGAAAGAATGTAAGAGTGATGTCTGTCATGTAGTTTGATGTTAACCACTGTTATTACCATAATTATATCATAAACTCAGCTATGAAATGCACAAGGATTGGAAAATGATATGCAAAAAAGAAAACAACTGCAAAGACAGATTATAAATATGCATGGTTTTTATTTTATCTAGTAATGCTATATCATTTCCCAATAAGAAAAAGCCTTTTTTTATTTTATTTTGGCCATGCCACAGAATTTGTAGGGGCTTAGTTCCCCAACCAGGGATTGGACCCATGCCCCCTGCAGTGGAAGCACAGAGCCCTAACCACTGGACCACTAGGGAAGTCCCCTGAGAAAAAGGCATTTGAAATAGAGATCTCAAAAAAAAAAAAAAAACCTACAATGGGACTTGAGTCTTAGTCTGCTCTTCCCTTCAGAGGGACCGAAGGCTCCCAGTCTGTAAGACTGCTGTGGCAGTTGTTGGTGGAAAAGGTCAGGCTTTGGACCTGGATCCCCTGGAAAAGACAGGGAGAAATTTCCAGAATCTAGAAGATTCTGTCTCATATCAGGCCCTGAGAGAACTGTGTATTGACAGCTATCAAATGAATCAGATTCTTCCACATAGGCATGCATTAATTCACTCAAACACTCTTTAAACCACTACTGTATACAAGGAACTGTGAATTAGACTGTCCCCACTGGATGAATCTGGAACAATTTCCATGATATAAATGAAAAAAAAAAAAAGCAAGCTTCAGAACACTTGTGTAGAGAATGCTATCATTTGTATTAAAAAATAGATATATAAATACACATATTTTAAAAGCTTGTAAATGCATAGAATTACTTGGAAAGATACATAAGATATAGAAACAGTGATTAATTCTGGAGAGCGGGCTGTAGAACCAAAGGCTGACCTCCAATGAGCAGCTTACTTTTCATTGTATTCTCTTCTGTATTGTTTGGATGTCTTACCACGTATGTGTGTTAATTTTCTTCAAAAAATGAAAAAGAAAAAAATTTAAAGCAAGTAAAAGGAAGTGTACCCAGAGCTGAATATACAGTGATGACCAGGGTAGGCAGGGGTAGGGTGGGGTGTTCAGCCTCACAGAAGGCAAAGTGGGTTGAACTTGCTGAACCACAGCTGTTTTCAAAAGCCAGACTGTTTATATAAGTTAAGAGAAGAACTCTCTCTACACCAATCAGATTATAGTAATTTGACATATCATTTTACAGATAAAGTTGTTGGAAAATAAATACTAGTCATTGGTCAGGCCTCAGAGTGTATTAAATTGTAGCTTCTACATGGGTGGGAATCTTATATGTTTAACTTGGGCAGCATTCACTCCAGCAGCTAAGTGCTTGTTATAGCAAGCATTTTCTGATGATAACAAATGATAGCAACAGAACTCTTTAAAGACACCTTTGAAAAAAAGATCAAAAGATACTGGACCCTGAGGGAACCATGATCCCTGTGAGGGTTGAGCCACCTTTTCTGGAATAGCCCCCCCACCAAAATGGTGATCTTCAAATGGAAAGGTAAATACCAGTGAGAATGAGGTCATAGGGATACTGCATGTGCTGTGGAATGCCCCAAGCAAATGTGCCCTCCTTGGGGTGAAGAGGCACAAACTGACTCCAAAGAGAACCTGGTGCTCAGTGGGCTTCCCAACTGCAGGGGAGGTAGGAAAGCAGGTGTCTGGATGGCTGCAAACGTGATAAGCTGGCCACCAGCCAGAGTAGCCGAGTCACTAAGGCAACAGAGCAGTTGACACAGTGGACTTTAGAACCAGATGGGCTTGACTTACAAGGTTATCCAGCAAGTTATTTAAGCTCTCTGAGCCTCGGTTTCCTTCTCTGTAAAATGGAGAGGATCACTGTGAGATAATGCTGAGGACAAAGGAAGAACCCCTGGAAAGTGTTTTTAGCAAGATGCTGGGCCCACGAGCAGGGCTTACAGTGCTGATAATTACCGCTGTTTACTGAACAGTGGAGAACTGACCATCAGCATCTAAGTCTGAGCAGCGGGCAAGGTGCACTCCCCCCTCCAAGCCTAAAGTCAGGTCAAGAATCCCAGACATCGACAGTGTTTCATAAACTAGAAAACGCTTCCTGGCTTATCAACTCACAGCAGCCTGTGAACTGAGTCGGGTGGGAAATATCAGGCCTATCTTGAGGGAAGGGGCTGGTAAAGTTAAGGGGTCTGTCAAGAGCTGGTTGAGGGTAGAATCCAGGCTGTGACCCAGGTTTCTTGGTGAGTGGCTCCACATTCTTTCCACTCCACGCCACCCCCAGGAAGGAGACAGAGCTGAGGTCAGGACAAGTCAAACCTATGATTTCACCGCCTCCTCTACCCAGGCTCCAGCTAGCACAGTCTCTGAGCGGGAAGCAACTCAGCCATCCATTTCCAACACTTCTATCAACCTCTTCTGTAATGTGTTCCTGTGAACAGCCCCGGGTGCAGGGCAGGCACCCTGAGGCTGGAATCAGGAGGGGCTGACAACTGAGTGGGGGCCGGCTCTGGCGCTGCACGCAGCCGGAATCAGGCCTGCTTGGACCTCATTGCCTGCTTGGGAAGCAGGGACATGGTGGCCTTGGCAGGCCTGGGAAACACTGAAAAATACTGTTTCTCTGAAACTGAAAAAGCATTAACCTTTCCCAATGCCTTTAACATTTCCACTAGAAATTTGGCATTTGCTAGAGGAAGAAGTTTTTTTCCCCAATTGTAAAAAGGTCAGGCGTATTTATCTGACTTAATAATTTATAATTGATATTCGATGCCCTCCTTGAAAGATTGTCACTAAGAATGCCATCAGCACCCACCTACTGGTGCTGCACAAAAGCCTGCCAGACCCAGCCCCAAATCCGACCCAGGCAGGGCTGCAGCAGCCGCTCAGAGCAGAGGTCAGAGGGCACCTCCACACAGCCAGCTCCTTGTGCTGGCCAGGTCCTAGCTCTGCCATCAATGAAAAGACAGCCCAGCCTCCCATGTCCAGTCCCCATTCTGCCACACCCAAGTTCCCTGCAACAGTGACAATACCACAGCCTCTTGAACAGTGTAGAAAAAACAAAAATTCCTCCATTCTCTCCCTTCTCCTCTCCCACCAGTAAAGGGTTCTCTTAGTAGAAGAGAACCATTTGTAGGAAAGATGGAGGTGCCCAGCAAAATGTCAGTAGGCCCTAAAAGCCAATGCCACTAGTTCAGTGTTGCAGGGGGGACTTGGATGTGACTGACTGGCATTACGACCCTCCCTTCACCCCTTCAGAAGCCCTGAGCTCCTGGTTTCCTAACCACAGCTGCAGAATCTAGACAGGACCTTCCTTCTTGGACAGCAGGAAACGCCATTCTCTCTCAGAGACGGGCCAGCGAGGGAAGTCTGGAGGAGGAGGAGGGTAGGGTCAGGCTCACCTGAACAGGAATACAAGAGCCTACCTGCATGGTAAGAAGGTTTTCTTTTATTTGAAATATAGTCTGAGCAACATGAGTGTAGCGGAGAGGAGGAGGGGCTGGCTGCTGGGGCAGCGGCCTCTCTAATGGCACAGGAGCAAGAGTACAAATATCCCCATGTCTGTGTGCCTCGAACCCCGCTCATCAGGAAAGGCAGAACAGCAGCAGAACAAGGACGCACAGCTCCTTTGAGGGGGTGGTGGGGGAAGGGGAGGTCCTGCCTCTCTGCGCCCAGCTTCCAAACAGAAGCTTTTCCCGCCCACACAGACAGGATGAGCCCGCACGACAATGCATCCTCAGGACTGTTTGCAGGGAAGGAATCAGAGAAGACAGAGAGGAAGGGCACGGGGACCGAGAGCCCTCTGCAAGCCAGGTGGGGCGAGCTCTCTCAGAGGGGGAACACGCCAGCACCCTCCTCCCCTGTCTCAGGCTCTGGTATTGTGAAGCAAGCTGCTGCAGGGAGGCCCCGGCTGAAGGCAGAGAAAGGGGACCTCCCAGAAGAGCGCGGCTGCTGAAGGGCCTTGAGCAGAGGTGACCGCGTCGGGGTTGGAAGGACACAGACGAGAGTTGGGGTACCGAGAAGCAGCACAAAGCCATAAATAACAGAAGCAGATTCGGAGCTGTGAGGGTCCTGGGCGACCCCGCATCTCCCAGGGCTGGGGGCCACCCAGCCCCCCGCAGCTCAGGGCAGACACTGCTCCAGGACACAGCCAGACACACTCACGCCGGGCGGGGCCTGTTCCTTCCCACTGTCCACACAGCAGGCGGAGGACACCATGGCGCCACCCCGACCATGCACCGCAGGGCCTCCGGTCACACCTGCGGGGACGGTGTGAGGCTGTCCCGGTCCTGAGAGGTCTGTGGTCGACTGGGAGCGTCTTGGGCCCCATCCTCGTCCTGGGCCAGGCCCAGGGATCTCCCCGTCTCGGAGTCGCCCACCAGAGGCTCCTCGGCACCTTCTTCCAGTCCGTTCTCCCTGGTCTCCATGGGCACCTCCTCCCCAGAGCCCTCCTCTGGCTCCGCCGCCTCTGCCTCTTCCTCCTCCTGGTCTCTCACCTTGTGGACGATGAAGAGGTGGCGGCTGAGGGAGCCGGCAGAGGTGTAGCACAGGCCACAGAGGAGGCACTGGGCTGTGGAGCTGTCCTTCTGGTGCTGAGGTATGTGGCTCTGGAACTCCAGCCCTGAGTCCGTGGCAAAGCTACATTTCGCACACTGGAAAAGCGACTTGTGCCTTTTGGTGGAAGAGACTGGCGTGCCGTTGCTGGTGTCAGGAGCGGCCCCCACTCCGCTGACTGGTCTTTTCAGATGGTTCACCTGAAGGAGAAACGACGTGAGCCTGGAAGCCCAGGACATGAGCCCCCAGCATGGGCAACGCAGTCCAAGGACTTGCAGAATCATCACCCAGGCCGGACTCAGCCCAGCCCTAAGTTCTGGTCTAGGTGTGGTTTGCTTCTTTTGCTTGTTTTAATGGGTACATCCATGTAGCACAACATTCCAAAGACGTGGGAAGGGTACAGAAGAGATGAGGTCCCCCCTCCCTGGCTCCCCAGACAACACTGGGGTTCTGAGGTACCGCCGAAAGATGTTCCAGTCATGCACAGAAATACAACCACCACCTTTTACAAGATGACAGCATTGCATGCACACTTTTCTTCACCCTGCTTTTTTTCACTTTACAACATATATTGACAGATTTCTTTATCCCCTGGGCCAAAGCCATCTGACAGATAAATCTCAGAAGTGGAACTGCTAGATCAAAGGGTGTACGCATGTGCAGAGAAAAGGTGTGCATCTTAATCATAGACAGTTGTTGCCGCAGCGTCAATTGACACCCTACCTGCTGTGTGTGAAAGGGCCTTTGCAGACCAGGGCCCTTCTCTGAATAGCCAGTAAAGAGCCCCCTGAAAAGCTAGGCAGCTCTCTGGGTTTCCCAGGCATGCCTGCCCCTATGAGGAGCCGCCCCCATCATGGAGTTGGGGGAGTCCACTGGGAAGAGGGACACGAGGCTGCCCCAGAAGCTGACCAGAAATGGGTACAGGGCATGAAACAGGGGTGAGGTCAGAGGGTCCGGGGTAGTGGGATTCTAGGTCTGGCTCCTCTGTAACTGGGGGGTGGGGTAGGGGTGGGGATGGGGGTGTGACTCAGTGAAGCGTTGCATCCTCTCCCAACAGTCAGGCCTACCCACCCCACCTCCGAGGACCGCAGAGAGGCAGAGGCAGGAAGTACATGGACACGATCCAGTGTCCACAGGGCACAGGACACACCGAGAGACGGGTCACGGTGACAGGGAAACGGCGGCGAGAAAAGGCCACTGGGCTGCCTCGTAGATCCCTGTTCCTTTCTTTGTGTGCGGTCCCCAGGCAGGTCACACAAGGCTAGAGAGTGGCCAGCATGGAGGTTGCTGTCACTGCTGGCTGCTCCCTGGCCACAAGGACATGTGGGCTCTGGTAACCTGCCCAGCGCCCCTCCAGCTCCAGCCTCACCAGGCAAGCTGCTCCGGCGGGCAGGGGCCCCACACTCACCTGAGGGGAATGTCCACCCGAAGGTCTGGCTTTGGACGTCCGGCTCAAATCAGGATTTCTGATACCGTGCATAAGGCTGATGTGGCTCTCCAGGAGGGAGGGCCGAGAAAAACTGGGGCTATCCTCTGTGCAATACCTGCAGAAGCGCAGCCAGAGCGGCCGTGTAAGATGATCAGCCCCAGTGTCTGGGGGGCCAAGCAGGCAGGCTAAGGTGAAGCTGCCTCTGGCTCCAGGGGAGATAGTCTGGGGTAGGCAGGGTGGTCCTCGGGCTGGCAGGGTGGCACTGGGAAATCCAGCCAGTACAAGCCAGCCAAGGCAGAAGACGACCGGAAGTCAGAGTATCTGTATTGGCCCTAAGCTGTGACCTGACTCTCCTCTCTCTGGTATCAGTGTCCAGAGACCCAAGTGTGGGCCCAGCGGCCGGACAGCAGCCTGTTCTGTCCAAAAGCTCGGAGAGATGGTGCTGAAGTCTCACGGCTGACAGGGCACCTGCTCACATCGCACCCATTCCTCTCCAACTTCAGGGCCCTCCACCACCGCCGGACAAGGTGGCCTGGGCTTAGGAGTTGGGAAGGGGGAGACCTCCAGAGCTACCAGGCTCTGGAACACCCTCTTCCTAACCTAGCCACAGCACTTCCCAGTAGAAACTGGCTTGTCTCTTACCTCTGAGCCCTGATCTCACAGCTGAGAAAAGCCCTAGGGGTACCACAGTGGTCTGGATGAATTTCAGCCCCTTGGCTCCCACCTCCAGGGACTCACCCACAAGTGTAGACTTTCTTCACTGTGTCATGGTTGTTGCGGATGTGTTTGCGCAGGCTGTTGGGGGTGTGAAAGGACTGTTCACACTGCCGACACGGGTACCGCTTCAACGTCTATGGGGACCACAGGATGCAAGGCATCAGAACCCTAAGACACTTCTGGGTGCATCTTTCTTCTCAGAGGAGGCAGGCAGAAAGGAGGATGCCCCAAGAACTCAGGATCTGCATCGCCCACCATGCCCATGGCACCAGGATCGACAGGGGGTCATGCCATGGCAGAGGCTCTGATCTTGTAGGACAAACGGACCTGCATGTCCCGCACTTACCCGACCGTGGCTCTTTTTCATGTGGGACACGTAGCTCTCCCGATCTGGAACCCACTCCTGGCACTCCTGGCAGGTCCAGCCGGTGTTCCTCAGCCGGGGCCTGGCCTCAGCCCTGCGGTGGGCCTCGGGCCTGCCCCAGCGGCTGGAGGGCAGGGCACTGCCCCGAGCAGTCACACTGGGGGCTGGCGGCTCAGCAGGCACTCGAGGGCCAGGGCGACTTGAAGATGAGTCTGTTGAGGACTGGAGGCTGGACAGCTCGTCCACGTTGCGGGGCACACCATGGGTGCTCTGGGGACAGAGGGAGCGATTACTGACTGGTTGGGGGCGGGGGACGCAGGGCGAGACACCTGGCCTGAGGACATGCCCGTCTCCCCAGCCCCCTCCCCAAGGGGCCCCACCTTGACATGCTGCATCAGCTCCGGCTTCTGCAGGAACAGGAGCGGGCACTCAGGGCACTTGAAGACGCCCACCTGCGCCGTGCTGGCGTTCTGGTAAAAGTGCTGCTGGATGTGCCTCTTCTTGTTGAAGACCATTTCACAGGAGCACTTATAAATGAGCCTGCCACGACAAGCCCCAGGGCATGAGGTGACCAAGGCCCAGCCGGCAGAACCACAGGCCCCTCCACCCCATGTGTGATCTCTCCGAACCAGACTCAGGTTGGGAAAAGCAATACTCTGAGCCAACATGGACACTCCCCAGTCTCAGACATCTCCGAAGCACTCCGGGCTTCTAGCCACTCTCTGCCACTAGCCTGGGCTTCCCAGTCCATCCAACACCTCCCATAGGGCCCCACACTGATCTGCTCTGCTCCCACAGGCCTGCAGGGCCCGGAGCCACACTCACTGGGAGGGTCTGTGGGGCTGGGTGGGATGCTGGGTGGCGCTGTGGTCCGCGGTGCTCCTGGCAGTCTTGAAGGCCATGGGGCAGAACGCACATTTGTGGAAGACCTGGCAGTGCCGCTCCTGGATGTGGCTTTTCAGCAAGGCCAAGGTCAAGTGGACAACCCCACAGTGGATGCACCTGGATGACAGAGGTGGGGCCGGGGAACAGGTATGTCAGACCAAGAAGTGGTGTTAGAAGAGCAGGGATGGAGGACAGGAAGAGAGCCATCTCAGGGACCTACCCCTCCCTTATGCATTTAGTCTTGAAAGTGTGCTTGCTGCCGCCAGGCACAATGCAGTCACCGAGGGCCTCCCAAGCCCAAGACCCTCCTGGTTAAGGAGGGGAAAGAAAGCCCTCCCCTCACAGGCCAGAGAATATTCTTCTGCAAGCTAAAAACTTGATTGAGCCTAACCATAGAGCTGGTGGGAGTGGAGAAAGGGGAGTATGGTTCAAAAATTACATTAATAGCACCCATTTAAGTGTGATCCAATTGCAGGAGTCCAGGGTGAGTTTTAGAAGGAGACTGCAGAAAGCCTGTGCCTCCCCACATGCGGGTGCGGAACAGGAAGGGATGTTCACTTAATAAAATGTACACTGAGGAGGTGCTACACCCACCATGACAACCACATTAAAACCAACAGCCCTCAAAGCCCAAGAAGTGCTCTAGAGCAGCACTGTGGAACTTGCTGTGATGACGGAAGTGTTTCATACAGCACTGTCCATGTGAATATTTAAATTTCAATCAGTACAATAAAACAGCCAGTTGCCCTGGCTACACTTCAAGCTCTCAATAGGCACATGTGCCTGATACTGTTCTGGACTCTGCAGCTCCCTCGGTGGGACTATGGATAACATTTTTATTTCTCTTTTCCCCTACTGATTTGCACTTTCTGAGTTTTGTTTAGTGACTATATCATTTTTATAATATAGGAATTGTCTTAAGCCATTTCTCTGAAATTGAGGTCATGTGGAACTCTTCTTTCAACTTCAATATATCTCTCTATAAATACTGTGTTTCCTTTCTTCAACATCAGAAAATGATGTTCCTCTAAAGCTAACCTTCATCTATTCGGGTTCCTAGACTCTCTCACGTGTTCAGTCTTTCTTCCCGCCTGAAAACACAGACAAGTCTCCCTACATGAGAGAAAACCCTCCTTGCTCCCAGCTCTTGAGGTAACTATTATTTTCTGTCTGTTGCAATAATGTTTGCTCCTGTAACCTTGGCATCCCCGTAATCTAGAAGAGAGGGTGTCACTTTACTGAAATAAAGGATATGTCTTCACTTAAGAATTCTTTGACTCCAAATATTAGCATTCATTTCAACATATTAGCCCATTTTTGCAATCCACATGACTCATCACAGAATCCTGACCAATCCTTTTTGTTTTTCATTCTTTTGTGTATGTTTAGGGCAGGGCAGGGGGAAAGGGGGAGACAAAATCACCTTTTACAAACTTAATCAGCAATGAGGAAAAGTGCACAGAACCCAAAGTCTGTTAGCAACTAAGGCCAACAAGCATTCATTACTAAATGTGAACGTGTTAGAGATTCCATACAAACTACTTACACTTAAAATTGTATTTTCTTTTCTCTCCTGCCAAACAAAATAGTGACCAGCTCCTAGCACACAGAAGCATATCCACACCACAAGTAATTATGAGGGGAGAAAAAAATCCACACATTTCCAAATTCATCCAAAGTAGCCAAATACACCTGACATGTGTAAAGAATCTAAGTGGTTTTATTTGTGCAGTTTGACCAAAGTCCTACAGGAGCAACATAAGTACAAGTGAAAATCCATTCTATTTACCCAGAAGACATTCTTGGCGGAAACCTCATGGAAAGTAAGACTATAAAGGGGAAAAAGAACACGAGCTGAGTGGTCTGAGTGAAGGACTGAATCAAACAGGGTTTGCAGACTAATGAAAAGCTGTGTAGAAAAGAATTCTAACCCCACGACACAACTCTTTACCAACTGTTTTTTTAAAGAGAAAACAGGCAATAATAGAACCATATGCTGTCAAATATATAAAGCTTTAGAAAAGATAGGGCTTCCCTGATGGCTCATCTGGTAAAGAATCTGCCTGCAATGCAAGAGACCTGGGTTCAACCCCTGGGTTGGGAAGATCCCCTGGAGAAGGGAAAGCCTATGTACTTCAGTATTCTGGCCTGGAGAATTCCATGGACTGTAGAGTCCATGGGGTTGCAAAGAGCTGGACATGAGGGAGCGACTTTCACTTAGAAAAGATAAAGAGCAGTAAAATATGTAGCTTTGTCAATAATCACAAATAAGGCTTCCCTGGTGGCTCAGAGGTTAAAGCGTCTGCCTGCAATGTGGGAGACCTGAGTTCAATCCTTGGGTCGGGAAGATTCCCTGGAGGAGGAAATGGCAACCCACTCCAGTATTCTTGCCTGGAGAATCCCATGGATGGAGGAGCCTGGTGGGCTACAGTCCATGGGGTCGCAAAGAGTCAGACACGACTGAGTGATATATGGGGTAACATATTATTAAATAGTCTAAACTTGCTTCCTTATGACATCATTGGTCACTCTCCAAATTATCAACAAAGAGCAGAATAATTTACAAAATCCTAAAAATATTACATTGTCAGGACTTCCTTGGCAGCCCAGTGGGTAAGAATTTGTCTGCCAGTGTAGGTGACATGGGTTCCACTTCTGGTCTGAGAAGATTCCACCTGCCACAGAGCAACTAAGCCTGTGTGCCACAACTACTGAAGCCCACACACCTAGAGCCTGTGCTCTGCGACAAGGGAAGCCATCGAAAGTAGAGAAAGCCTATGCAAAGCAACAAAGATCCAGCACAGCCAAAAGATACAATTTTTAAATAAATAAAAATATTATTAATATAAAACTCTATAGTAGAGCTTATTGAAATGGAACATAGGTACTCTTAGCATTTATTAAAAATGATTACTATCCAGAGAATGGGAGAAAATACTTGCAAATCATATATCTGACAAAAGACTTGTAACCTGAATATATAAAGAACCCTTACAGTTCAACAACAAAAAGACAAATAACACGATTTTTAAATGGGCAAAGGATCTGCATAGATATTTCTCTAAAGAAAATATACAAATGGCCAATAAATTTATGAAGATATGCTTGACATCATTATCCACCAGGGAAATACAAATCAAAACCATCATGAGATATCACTTTACACCCACAATAACTATAATCAAAAGTCAGACAGTAACAAATATTGGCAGCGATGTAAAGAAGACAAAATTCTCATCCACCCCTGGTCGGAATAGAAATGTGGTATAGCTACTTTGAAAGACAATGTGGCAGTTCCTCAATTTGACTCAGCTATTTTACTCCCAGGTATATATCCCAAAGGACTGAAAACATTGTTACCTAATAACTTACACATGAATGTTCATTAGCAGCATTATTCATAAAACCCAAAAAAGGAGTGAATAACTATTATTTGTTACAATGTGAATGAATCTTGAAACTATTATGCTAAGACTATGTATTATATGATTTCATCTAAATGAAACATCCAAAGGAGGCACATCTATGTGACAGAAAGTTGTTCTCTTGGAATGGAAGGACTACAAATATAGAGTTTCTTTCTTTATGGGTGATGAAAATACTCTAAAATTGATCATTGTGACTGATTGTAAAATTTTGTGAATATAGTAAAAAGCACTGAATAGGACACTTTAAATAGGTGAATAGGATGGTACATGAATTACATCTGAATAAAAGCTATTACAAAAAATACATTAATAGCTGAAGATCTTAAGTACAACGAATACTATGTCAGTGTGCATATCTTCTGAATTCAACCACAGATCACTGAAAACATTAATGTCAGTATCTTCAGTAATCCTAGCTGCATCATTTTGTCTGACCTTTCTTACAAAAAGGCTTGATAAACTACTTTTGAGACATTACATTGCTTTTTACTCTTATAGAAGACGGTAAAATATATAATTAAAGTACAAAAAATACTATTAATCCATCTGCGTTACTGAAAATTTCTTGGATTCAAGATTCAAATACAGGGACTTCCTTGGTGGTACAGTGGTTAAGAATCTGCCTTCCAATGCAAGGGACACGGGTTTGATCCCTGGGCGGGGAAGATCCCACATGCTATAGGGCAACTAAACCCACAATGCAGCCAAATAAATCAATATATTTTTTTAAAAATTCAAGTACAAAAGCTAAAGTATTGATTGCTATGGATTCAATTAGATCTTGAAACAAGCAGCATACACTTATGTCAAAATTAGAAAGGTATTTTCAAGTGTTATGAATACTGCAAAAAACACTCATTCAGGTGTTCAGTTTTAAAATGTAGCCTAGAATGCTGCCAAGCCATGCTCTTTGCAACATGGTGGCAAGGGCTCTGTATAAACAACCCCATCTCTGGGTTGTTTTCTTCTCATATATGTTAGCGTATCCATTCTCTCTAACACGTAAAAGAAATAAGTCTACATTTGGAAGTGGTTATCCCAAGAGAGAAACCTGGAAGTGATCACTAACCACTCCCCATCCCTCACCCTGGTACATAAGCCATCCTCAAGCCCTAATGCTTCTCCTTTCTAAATCTCTCTCAGGTTTTCCTTCTCTCTATCCTCACAGCCATGCCTTAGCTGGATCACTCAGTGTCTCATTGGAATTGTCACACAACCAGTCTCTAGTCTCTCGCCTCTAATACACCTATCAGCTTTCCAGAATGATCTTTCTAAAACACAGATCTGGCTGGATCACTCCCCTGCTGCAAATCTTTCCATCGCTCCTCACTATCCCCAGGAAAAAGTCCAGATGCCTGCCAAGGAATACAAGGTCTTGCGTGGCCTGGCCCCTACCAACCCCCTTGTCTCATTGCTCACCCTTCCTCCAGTTCATCGTGACCCACACCATGTTTATCCTTCCTAAGAGTTTTCTTTGTGTGCTGGCACCCTTGCCTTTGCTCTTGCCAGACAGGCTTGCCTCCTTTCTTCTACCTAAAAGCCTCCTCCTATCTTCTCTATGAAGCTTTCCTGACCATTCCTCAAATATAGGACTTAGCCACTCTGAATCATAAGTACCTGCTTGCATGTTTGAAAGCCATCGGATTGAAGCCCCTTGAGCGCAGGAGATGGGTTTTAACCATCTTTGTGTCTTGAGTGTTTGGCACAAGTCTAAAGCAACAGTAAGAACTCAAAAAAAGTTTAAGTGAACTGTGCTCAGTTGCTCAGTCCTGTCCAACTCTTTGTAGCCCCATGGACTATAGGCCACCAGTCTCCCCTGGCGGTTTCCCAGGTAAGGGAAAATGGGTTTCCACAGGCAAGAATACTGGAGTGGGTTGCCATTCCCTTCTCCAGGGGATCCTCCTGACCCAGGGATTACTACACCTGTGTCTCTTGAGTCGCCTGCATTGGCAGGCATATTCTTTACCATTGGGCCATCTGGGAAGCCCATTAAAGGAACTAAATCAAAATTTAATACCAAAGAGAAGAAAACCTTAATAAATTTGGGCAAAATTAAATTTCTGAAGCAAAAATGACCAGAAAACATAAGATGTAGAAACTCCCAAGCAAGTAAACAAGTAAAGGAGACCTGATTGGGTCAATGTAAAATTACAGATCAATGAGTTTTAGAAGGAGCGTTCACCCTCATTTTGATCTTTTCTTTGAAAATGACTTCTTGCTTATATCCATTTAACACCATAGAGATAGATCAGTTAAAATAGAGTTTTCTTGGTTTTACCATGAAGCTGATCATTTTTTCCATTCTCAGGTCTTACTTCTCACAAACTGACAAAAACTAATCAACACAAAGATAAAAGTTCTTTGACTTTGGCAGCTTGCCATTTGTTCAGAAATTGAGAACATTTGAAAGTACCAAAATTTGCAAATTTATTATTGAAATAGTACTTTAAAATTAATACGCCAAGCATGATAACTTTCTGAGCAAATTATATACCTTTAAAAAAAAAATTAAACTGACAAAGTGAATGTTAGGTATAGCCTAATCTCCCCAATACCTTCCTCTTTAAAGCTTTTCTCTTTTTTTCATCTTTTGGCCACACTGTGCCACTCACAGCATGTAGGATCTTAGTTTCCCAACCAGGGATCAAACTTGTGCCCCCTGAAGTAGAAGCTCAGAGTCTTAACCACTGAATGGCCAGGAAGGTCCCAAAGCTTTTTGTTTTCCCCCAATGTTTAACTTTTTAACTCCTTGCTCTTCTCCCTGCTTTTCTGGTTCCCTACAAAGTAAAAATGTCTGTCCACATACCAATCAACATTCTTGTCTTATTAAGCTGGAGCCCAGGGCTCATAAGACAAAAACTCAAAATTCCTCTAATAGTTTGGCTATGCCAAAATATGTGGCTTATGGGATCTCAGTTCCCCAACCGGGGATTGAACCTGGGCCACGGCAATGGAAGCCAACCCTAACTACTAGACCACTAGGGAACTCCCCAAACTCCAGTCTGAGACGAGCTACGGTCCAGAAAAAGCAGCAGCCACTGGGCAAGCCCAGGACAGCACCCACCTGTAGCCCACCTTGCGGGCATAGTGCAGGCAGTTCTCCTTTACGTGGGTCTGGAAGTAGGCAGAGCGGCAGAGGGCCCCGCACTCCGGACAACAGTAGGGGGACTTGTGGGCGTGGATCCGCTGGTGGGCGCAGAAGCTGCACTGGTTGGGCAGCAGCATCTGGCACACCTGGCAGGTCTAGGAAAGAACACGGAGAGAGCAGTTCAGGCGGGAGCCACAGGCCAGGAGCTCTCAACCAGGGCTGCCTGGCTTTCCTAGGACGCTGATCAGAAGGGCCACCACCCCCAACCGTTCTCTCTCCCAACTCTCCTAGGAACTGGTGACACCCCCAGGCCTCACGCAGTGATGACACTGATGCCCACTCTAGCTTTGCCTCTCACCTTATTAATCAAAGGCAGACCTAACCCTATTTTCCCCAAAATCAGTCCTACACGTCGGGCTGTGATCCTGCTCTCCCCTTGCTCAGCAGAGGACCAGCTTTTCCTTTCCAGAGGCCCAAGGCACTTCTTGCATTCTAACATCTTGCTACACTGCTAGGGCTACCGGGGCCTCTGCCCTGGCTCAGCAGGTTCTGACTCAACACCTTCGGTAAGCTGGCTCAGAGACTCCCAGAGCAGACCTGAGCCCCCATGGTTAACACTCAGAAGCCTCCATGCAGACCGAGTTTCCGTATGCTGTCTGTCTGCCCACTCTGGGGTGGGGGAGCGGTGCCTGAAGCCACAATTGCCCACATCCATCCACAGAGAAGCACAGAACAGCTATCGGCTTCCTTGTTCTCAGACCCAGGAGAGAACCAGAGGCTGACAAGTCCTCCAGGCCGACTCACAGAAGCTCTCAGACAGGGAGAGTCCAGAAGCCCAGAGGGGAGAGCGAGAGGTTGAGCAGGGGCCTCTGTCTGGAGTGGCCCTTCTTAATAACAAGGGAGCCACTGACCTGGGCTCAGGAGTGCTCAGACCGGTAAACTGTTAGGGAGGCCAGGAAAAGATCTGTTTTAAGCAGTGATATCCAGAATGTAGGGCCCTTACAGCACAAACAATCCAGCTTTTTCAACAAAAGAAATGCCAAGGCAAAAAAAGAAAGAAAAAAGATTGAGGAAGAGGAATTTACAGATTAAAAGAGACTTAAAAGACATTTTCAACAACTGCAATGGATAGTCCTTATTTGGATCCTGATCCGAGCAAGCCAAGTGTAAAAAGAAATGAGATAACTGGATATTTTAAATCTAACTTAATGATGACAATACTGAGACATCTGACACTTGATATTAAGATTTGATTATAGGAATTATTATTAATTTTGAGGTGTGATGATATTATATCTATGGGGTTTTAAGGAAAAAACTTTTTCTTTTAAATATATATACTGCAATAGACACTATAATGCTGGGATTTGTTTAAAAATAATACACTGAGGGAGAGGGGATACAAACACAGATGAAACAAGACAGGCCACTGAGTTGGTAAAAAAAAATTAACCTCTGTGACTTTTACAGCACAGTATTTTGACTTATACATCCTGAATATGACATATTCTAAGGACATGAAGAACTAACTGCAAATACACCCTCAACTTTATGCGGTGTCCTAAGGTTAGAATTAATATTGGGGGGAAAAAAAGAATTAATATTGGTCTTGACATTTTGAAATTTGTATGTATATATGTGTATATGTATGTATGTGTGTGTGTATAGTAGGAAAATTTTAGGAACCAAGATTTTCAGCATAAAATCAGTTACATAAAAAATATGATCTTGGCCTCCCCTGGTGGCTTAGTAGTAAAGAATCTGTCTGCTAGGGCACGAGAGACAGGTTTGATCCCTGATCTGGGAAGATCCCACATGCCACAGAGCAACTAAGTCCACGCACTGTAACCGTGCACCGCGCCCTTGCTCCAGAGCCTGGGAGCCACAACCACTGGCACTCTCGAGCCTGCACTCCACGACGAGAGAAGTCACTGCAGTGAGAAGCCCCCACTCACAGCAACTAGAGAGAAGACCGTGCAGCAACAAAGAACCAGCACAGCCAAAAATAATAAGATTTATAAAAAAATTTTTTTAAGTATAATCTTACATTTCAGTACCAGTATAAACTCAAGATCTCCCTTTCCTTATTTTAAAACTTTGTATTTCTTAGTTCTGGCCACTAAAAAGGCCTAGAAACATATTCAGCAGAATAAGCATATTTGGTGCCCAGAACGTAGCCTCTAAATATCATTTCTCACTTAAAAAAAAACCATCATGGCCTCTTGAAAAATTGACTGATTCTAGGTTTAGCACAAGAAACTCGCCCAAATCTTGCTGGGGCTCAAAGTAGAGAAGCGTCTCAAGGTTTAATGAGTTCATGTGAAAGGAACATAGGAACACGGGAGCCAGCCTGATGGGACCCCCCCCCCCCCCGACCAAAATGGGGTAATTGAGCATGGAGAAGAGTGAGTCACAAATCAAAGACATACAGTAGACTGACAAAAAAACAAAAGGACACACACGCACAATACAGAAGAAAACCATCAAACTACAAAAGGAAAAGCAAAAGAAAGGAACAAAGAAACAAAATCAACTGAAAAAACAAAGGTTTAAAGTGGTAATAAATAGTTATCAATCAGTAATTGCCTTAAATGTCAATTGACTAAATGCTCCAATCAAAATATATGAGAGTGGATTAAAAAAACAAGAGCCTACAACATGCTGTCTACAAGAGACCCACTTCAGAGTGAAGGGCACGCCAAGATTGAAAGTAGGGGGATGGAAAAAAGACATTTCATGCAAACAGAAATGACAAAAAAGTGGAGGAAGCAATACTCAGACAAAAATCCCTTCCAAAATCACATCAAAAATAAAACTCAGGACTAAACCTGACCAAGATGGTGAAGGAGACTTACATGCTGAGAACTATAAACATTGATAAAGGAAAGTGAAGATGATTCAAAGAAATGGAAAGACATGCCATGCTCTTGTATTGGAAGAATTAATATTGTTAAAATCGTCATACTACCCAAAGCAATCTACAGATTTAATGCAATCTTTATCAGGACATTTTTCACACAACTGAAGCAAATAACCCTAAAATTTATATGGCACCATAAAAGACTCAGAATTGCCCAAGCAACCCTGAGGAAAAGGAATAAAGCAGGAGGTTTAACCCTCCAGACTTTAGACAATATTACTAAGCTAGAATAATCAGAACAGTGTGGTATTGGTAGAGAAACAGACACATGGACCAATGGAACAGAACAGAGAGCCTGGAAATAAATCCACACATCTACAGTCAATTAATCTTTGACAAATGAGGTGAGACTATACAATGGAGAAAAGACAGTCTCTTCAACAAGCAGTGCTGGTAAAATTGGCCAGCTGCGTGTAAATCAATGAGGTTAGGACACACCCTCACACTACACACAAAAATAAACTCAAAATGGCTTAAAGTCTTAAATATGAGACAATAGCTCCTAGAAGAGAACATAAGCAAAATATTCTCTGACATAAATTATACCAATGTTTTCTTAGGTCAGTCTCCTATGGCAATAGAAATAAAAGCAAAAGTAAACAAATGGGACCTAATCAAACTTGCAAGCTTTTGCACAGCAATAGAAACCATAATCAAAATGAAGACATCCTATGGACTGGGAAAAAATATTCACAAACAGGGCAACCAACAAGGGCTTAATTTTTGATATATAAACAGCTCATACAACTCAATAACAACAACAACAAAAGAAACCCAATCAAAAAACAGGCAGAAGATCTAAATAGACATTTCTCCAAAGAAGACATACAGGTGGCCAACAGGCACAAGATGCTCAACACTAATAATTAGAAAAATGCAAATCGTAACTACAAGGTACCATCACACACCAGCCAGAATGGCCATCATTAAAAAGTCTACAAATAATAAGTGTTGGAGAGGATGTGGAAAAAAAGGCACTCTCCTATACTGTTGGTGGGAATGTAAATTGGTGCAGCCACTTTGAAAAACCGTATGGAGGTTCCTCAAAAAGTTCAAAATAGAGTTACCATTAGATCCAGCAATTACCACTCCTGGGCATATATCAGGAAAAAACTTATATAAAAAAGATACATGCACCCCAATGTTCACAGCAGCACTATTTACAATAGCAAAGTCATGGAAGCAACCTAAATGTCCCCAGACAGATGAACGGGGTAAAAGAAGAATGCGGTAAAGAAGACGTGGTATGTATGTGTATACACACACACACATACACACATACACACACAGGCAGGAATACTACTCAGCCAAAGAAAATGAAACAAAGCCATCTGCAGCAATATGGATGGGCCTAGAGATTATCATACTAAATGAAGTAAGTCAGAAAGAGACAAATATTGTACGGTATCACTTATATGTGGAATCTAAAATATGATACAATTGAACTTTATTTACAAAACAGAAACAGACTCACAGACACAGAGAATAGGTTTGTGGGTACCAAAGGGGAGAAGGGCTGAGGGAGGGATGCACTGGGAGCTTGAGATTAGCAGATGCAAACTATTAAATACAGAGAAAGGATAAACAACAAGGTCCTACTGTATACCACAGGGAATTATATTCAATATCCTGTAACAAACCATAATGGAAAAGAAAAAAAAAGAATGACTGAACATATAAACATAATAAAAATAAATATATAAAAACCAATGAGCTTATTATAATACTAAAACTAAATAATAGAGGAGGTCATCTCATACCGATTAGGGTGGCTATGATGAAAAAAAAAAAACACAAACAGATGCACTATTGGTGGGAAAATAAAATAGTACAGTCCCTGTAGGAAAAAACAGTATGGGGGTTCCCTGAAAATTTTTAAATAGAATTGCCATATGATCCAGCAATTCCACTTCTGGATATATACTGAAGGGAATTGATATTATACAGTACAGGGAATATAGCCAATATTTTACAGTAACTATAAATGGAGTATAACCTTTTTGTACAGCAACAATAATTCAATAAAATGAAATATTTGATCACACAAAAAAAGAACTGAAAAGATATTTGGATACCATGTTTGGTCTTCCCAGGTGCACTAGTGGTAAAGAAACCGCCTGTCAATGCAGGACACCTGAAAGATTCAGGTTCAATCCCCGGGTCAGGAAGATCCCCTGGAGGAGGGCATGGCAATCCACTCCAGTATTCTTGCCTGGAGAATTTCATGGACAGAGGAGCCTAGCGGGCTACATTCCCTAGCGTCATAAAGAGTTGGACATGACTGAATCGACTTAGCACATATGCACATACCATGTTCACAGAGGCATTATTCATTTTACAACTAGAGGCAACACAGTGTCCCTTAACGAATGAGTGGATAAACAAAAGGTGGTATATACAACAACAGAATATTATTCAGTCTCAAAAAAAAAAAGGAAATTTGTCAAATGCTGGAACATGTATGAATCTTAAAGATATTATACTAAATTAAATGAGTCCTTCAGAAAAAGACAAACACTGTATGATTCCATTTTCTAGAAATTTGCTTATTCTAGTCAAATTCATAGAAATAGAAGGTAGCATGGTGGTTACTGGGGGAAGGAGTGGGGAGAATAGGGACTTGTATTTAATGGGTTTAGAGTTTCAGTTTTGCAAAATGAAGAGTTCTGGAAATTGATTGCACAACAATGTGAACCTTCTTAACTCCACTAAACTGTACACTTAAAACTTTATGTTATGTGTATTTTATCACAACTTTTAAAACTATTAGAGGAGGGACTCTTAAAACACCATTAAGGACTGCTGGAGCATCCATTCACTACTGTGAAAACTATTAACTGAGGGAAAAAAATTTATCCAATTTTCCAACATAAACTACATTTCAGGGTAACCTAACAGCCCTCAAAGGAAGAGGGGAAAATATTTTACATGGAATTCCAGCTGATAAATGAGAATAATAAAATTTACCACACCCTCGCACAACCGCCAATAAAATCGCTGACTCAAGCAGCAATTATTAATGGTAAAAAGATAGGGAACTTTCTAAGAAAAGGATCAGAACATCACTAGCCTAAACTCACTGATGAAGTTTAGCATCATTAAAACTGAAACAGTCAAGAACCCTGAGCCTCCCTGAAGTAACAAATTATGAAGAACACAGTATCCCCACTCCTCAAGACTGAATCTGAATCTAATCGTCACTTCTAACTTCTAGTCTATAGATAAAATATTGGGTATAGAACAAATTTTATTGTTTGGGGAAGCAATCAGCCAAATTCAAAATTATCCTGAAAAAGCCTCAGGAAGCAATCAGTCAAACCCAGAACAGTACGGGAAAATTCTTAGGACACATGACCCAGTTTCTTCAATAAAGTGATGATGTGAAAAATTTGGGGGGCGGGGGTAGTGTAGTTGTTGGGTGGAGTAGGAAGAGGTACTGCTCTAGATTGAGAAATATTTAAAAGCTGGAACAAACAAACACAACACGTGGTCCACATTTGGCTTGTGATTCACAATAAGCTCAGCTGTAAAAAGACAATTTCGACCCAAAGGGAAAACTTGAATGCAGACTTGTATTAAGACACTATTAAGGAATTGTTACTAATTTGGTTAGCTGTGATAATAACATTATAGCTAAACAAAAGCTTAAAAATAAGAACCTTTTTGACACCTGCCCAACAAATTGGCCTCGAATGTAAGGGAGGACCCCTCCAGCCACTGCAGAGGGAGGGGTTCAGACTCTGGGGAAGACTCTGGGCTGCCCTGCAGCCCCTCCCCTAGAGTGGAGTCCAGCCTGGGGCTTGGGGACCCCTCTTATGCAGCTCCCACTAGAAGGGAATGACACAGAGGAGATGCAGGACGAGAAGGGTGCCAGCCTGGGATCCTACACCCAGACTTCAGCCTGCTCAGATTTTAAAGAGCAGGTGATTAACAGTGGGGGGAAAGCAACCACGGGCCCAGGCATCAGATCTCCACTGGCAAAGGTCTGACCACAGGACCCAGAAGACCCACTCCTGTCCAAGGCAACCATGCTGGTACAGCCCCAGAGGAAATGGCTTGGGGGGCCCACAAGCCACCTGACTAATCAGGAAGAAATGCAAAATGAAACTGAGAAGGTAAAGATGAGTGGCAACAGCCTTGTGGCCCCAAACGGGCCCCTCCTGGGGGCTGCCCACTGAACTCCACCTCTGGCCTCTAGCCCTGGACCCCCAAGGCTGGACCCCCTCATTCCTAACCACTCCCTGTTCCTCTGGCCACTCTACACTTTCCATACCTGTCCCCGCGCCCCCAAACTCACCCTTGCAGAGCCAACTCAAATGTCACGTCCACAGCACAGGCACCTTCCCTACACCTGGAACCATGATGAGTCAGTCCCTCCAAGGAACTCTATAGAACTGCTCACCAGCGTGTTTTAACCCCAGTCTTAGCCTGCTCCACACTCCAGCGGTCTGGGTGGGGAGCCCTGCCCTTGCTGAGCCATCCTGAGCTCTTGAAGGAGCTGTGGTCTTCCTCGCACGGGCATCGCTGCTCTCAACACAGAGCCTCCGTGCACACAGGGGCCACTCAGAAGACAAATGTAGAGCTCATCAAGGCACCAACAGGTGCACGGTCCACTGTGGCCCTGGCTTAAGGAAGCTTGGTGAGGGGGTGGGCATGGCTAAGTCACGAAGAGAGACACCTGGAGAAGGAAGATGAGAGCCTTTGGGAGGCCTGCTTCTGCAGGCGATCTTGCTGATATGGACACGAGTGACACACGGGGTGCCAAAGGGTACTTTCAGCATGGAGTGCCTAAAGACACACACACACACACTCACTAGGATCTCATCATGTGCACACACACATCAGGCTTATATAAACACACACACTCATCAGGATCTCATCAAGCATAACCAGGAATCGGACGAGAGATAAGGGCAGAGGCTTTCTCAGTGGTAAGGACAGAGATGAGAGGAGGAGGCCCCAAAGCCTTTGCCTGGGGCCCACATGGCAGTCCACTCTCCTTCCTTCCACATCCATCCTCCTACTGGCCCTGCTAGGGCTTCCCCAAAGGGATTCTGCAGAAACCAGCTCTGTCCACTGCGGGCACAACAACCTGGTGAAGACATAGTTCTCAGACACACAGCCTGAGGCACTGGGCAGGGACGCACCTACCCCTGCCCCCGAGTTCTCTGGGCACATGCAAGGGCGACACTGACAGCAGCCAGAGATGTAGCCCTAGCCGGGCAACAGGCCCTCAGCCACTGGAGTGGGAGCGGAGCGTCCACAGATACACACCTTAGACCATCAGGGCCTCCCCTCAACTGCGGGCAGGACGCTTTCTCGGGAAATCCCAAGCACTACACATCCGGGTGGGTGGCTAGCCAGCAAAGCAGGTTCCTCTCCCAGGGCTCTTCCAATGCCCCCACTGCCCTAGATCAACGAGCCCAGGTACGGGACTGTGTGAACCCAGGGCCTGACAACCGCCCCAGAGATGGGAGATGGTCCTGCTCACCAGCCCCTCGGTCTCCTCAGTCGTCCTCTGGAAGTGTGCGGCCATCGCCATGTAGTCACGCATCTGCTTGTGACACTCCAGGCACTTGATACTGTGCCGGATGAGCCTCACGGGGTCCGGGTAGAGTGGCAAGGCGGGGAGTGGGGTGTTGGCATTGCTGGAAGCCGGGCCGGGCTGGGAGGGGGAGGGAGACGCCGCAGCGGCTGGCGCCGTGGAGTTCCCAGAGGTGGACACGAACATCTGGTCCGCAGAAATGGGTTTCACAAGCAGCTGAGAGCACTGCATGACGAGCCCCTTGCTCTTGTGGTCACGGGCATGCCGGAGCAGGCTGCACTTGTTGAAGAAGAGCAGCGTCTGGGAGCACAGCGTGCACAGCACCTCGATGTGGACGCTCCGCCGGCCATAGTGCTGGCTCAGGCTCTTCTCTAAGGCGAACGCATCCCCACACTCCAGGCAGCAGTAGCCACTGGCTGGCACGTGGATCCTGCTATCCACAGGCGGGCTGAGGTTGGGCGCGTAGAGGGGCACGGGGTTGGAGCTGTGGAGGACCTTGTTGAAGACCTCCACGACCAGCGGGGCGGCCTTCTTCACCTGGTGGACCAGGGGCACTGACATCTGCGTGGGCTGAGGCTGACTCCGCCTCTGCGCGGAGGACTTGGCCGTCACTGATGCTGCCACACTGTGGGGGACCAGGTTCAGGTTGGCCAGGTGCACGGCCTTGGGTAGGAGGTTGGCAGGGGCGGGGGTGGAGGCTGGCGGCGCCGGGCTTTGCTGCGGCTTTCTGCCCGCCTGCGTGCCCAAGGCAGCCCCCTTTGGACCCCGGGCCCCAGAGCTGCAGGAGGAAGGTGAAGGCTCGCTGGCTTTCGCCGTGCACTCCTCCCCTTTCTGGTCACTCTGGGGGCTCCCGGGATGTGCGTCCACCTCAGCAAAGTGCTCCACTCCGGACAGGGTGGTGGCCTCGTCCTCCGGTGCCTCGCTCGGGGCCTCGGCGGTGGCGCTTCCTAATGGTGAACCAACAGGGGACTTACTGGGGTCGTCAGGGTCTGGCAGGATCCTCGTGACCGTCCGCTTGATTTCCCCTGAAGACGTCTTAATGGTTTTGATCCTGACTTTGGGGATTGCTGGTGGGGAGCTGGCAGCCACGGAGGGGGAGCCCTTGCTGCTGCTGTCACTACAGATGCTCCGAGGGCTGTCGGAGGGCTTGATGCCCTTTCGAGTGGCCTCCAGGGGGCTCCGGGGACTCTTCGGTGACTTGGGCATCTTGGGGCTGCCTTTGGAGCCCTCCTTCGTGGGCCCTGAGGGATCCTTCGCGTGGCTGGGCTGATCCTCCTTGGCGACACTGGCCACTCGTTTAGCCTGCAAGGCCACCAAGGCCGCAACACAGGAGGACAGCTTGGAATGAGCTGGCTTGAGGCGCTGCCTGGGGGGCACTGCTGAGCCGGCGCCAAGCTCTGAGGCCAGCCCCTTGGGCTCTCCAACACTGTTGCCGGGATGGCTACTGAAGTCCAGGGCGTCCCCGAAGAATCGACTGGCATCTAGTTCCTTGTGCACCTCCAATGCTTTCTGCCCACCTCGCTCGTGCTCGTGCGGACTGCCAAGGGGCAGGGGCTCAGGCTTGGGTTCTTTCTTACAAAAGTGATCAAACATATGCAGCTCTGGGACCGGAAACTTTGTGAGAGCCTCCAGGACAGGGCCCCCCACAGACCCACACCCAGGAGGGGGCGGGAAGTAACTGTCAGAGTGCTTGGGCTTCATCCCAAACCCATTGTCTTTGATGGCATCCTCGGGCTCTGGGCTGGAGATCGGACTAAACTGGTTAAAAGTTGGTAACGGCTCTGACTTGGAGGCCTCCAGCTTGCTGGGGAAACCCCTGGTACTATCTCCATTCATGAACGTGGAGTCAAACTTCCCACAGTTGTGGCCTAGACTGTGGGGGTCTGCAGGCAGGTCGGAGCCCCGGAACCCATTGTGCAGGAGGCTGGGGGCGATGTGGTCTTTCTCCGCCTCAAACGACTCCTGGCGGCTGGTATTCTTGACGATGACACTCACAGCCGGCACATCCGAGGCTGAGCCTGAGTGAGACAAGGACACGTTCTCATCCACACACAACCCTGGGGGTTTGAGGGGGCTTTCATTCTCCTCACTGGGGGTCTGGATGGCCTCCTTGGCATCAAGGCTAGTGGGGTCTGGGATGTCAAAGGCAGCCAGAAGGTCGTCAAAGTCTGGAGTCTTCATATCCCCCATGGCTGGATGCAGGCAAGGCCTAGAACAGAAACAGAAACAGTATCAGTGATGGCCGGATCCCACCAGGCTCAATCCAGCATCATCTTCATCGCATAACCCACTCACTAACACGCATGCAGCCAGCACACCTACACACCAACCCACGCACTGTGGAAAGCCACACCCCCGAGTTCTACCCCAGTAGGTTTCCAAAATGCTGGAGATGCTGGGCGGGGGAGTGGAGAGAAAAGTTAGTACATCGTGACATGCCTGCCTGGTGGGCTCTAAACATCAAACTGGGAAACTCCTGGCTGGCTACATAACCGAAAAGAGGGTGCATTCACATGATACTTCCTCAATTTCTCGGGGAATATCATCATTCCACAATCATAAACATAAGCAAAAAACCACTCAGTCCTTAAAAAAAAAAACAACAACAACCTGGCTCAGCAGCAGTACCTCTGTTCTTTAGAAAACTTCTGGTTCATATATAAGACTTGGCTATAATCTCTGCTAATTTACTCTTAGTAACTGATCATTAACTTTGTATAACTTGGTTTTTTGCTGCATGAATTCAATCAAATTCAAAATGATTTACTCTTGCCAGGATTTAAGCTATCTCATCAATAAACTCTAGCAAATTACATCATCCCCAAGTTTTTTTTTTTTCTCTAGTCAGTGTCTGCTTGATTCCTTAATTTTCACCCCAAATTCATTACTGGTTGGTGAGTGGATCACTAAACCTGAGGGACTGGGTGACTCTCAAAGAAGCACACAGTTATCAAGCTGACCAGGGAACAGTTTTAAAGCCCTCAATTTTACTTTAATACACAAAGAAAAGAAAATCTACCTGATTTCTTCATGCTTTGGAGAAGCAAAGCTACAAAACTATTGCAAAGGAGGAAAGCTGAGGCCTTCCATTAAGAAATTACTAAGGCACTCACATTTAGTTGAGATGTGGAGCTGGCTGGTTCAAACCTGCTGAGAAGAGGAAGAGAAACTCCACCATCTCCCTGGTTCAGCCCATAAATCCTGCATCTGCTGTGGCATCCCAGAGCCTGACATGCTTAAGTGTCTCCTACAGCACGTTGGTACTGAAAGCCTTTGTGAACGCTGACCGACACAGCTCTTTCATAAAGCAGAACAGTGGCTGCACAGAACCAGATAAGGGGCGAATCCCTGGGCCCAGGAACCCCAATGCCAGAAATTTGTTCTAAGAACAAAAATTCACCCGCAAGTTATATGCAAAAGTGTATGGTATTATTAAAACACCACCAAAAGGAAACACACACAGACACACAAAGAAATCTAAATGTCCATGGACAAGAAATGGTTAATAGACTATTATGTAGTCGTTAAAGACTCCAATTATGAAACCTAGGTAGCAACATGGAAAATCACTTACAGTGTTAAGAAAAGATAAATACAAAAACATTGTCAAACTATAATAATGTAAAACTGAGCATGCATTTGAGCCAAGATTGAAAGGAAAAAGTGATTTGTGCAGGGTAGTGGGATTACTGGTGGGTTATTTTTTCACAACTTTTTTTGTATGTGCTAGTAGACTCCTTTTATAATTAAAAAAAGGGAAAACATACAGGAAAAAAAAACAAAAAACAAACAGAATCACAGGGGACCAGTCAGCATAGGTATATCTATTGCCACCCCATGGGATCAACAGGCTTGCAGGCTTGGTTTCTTGTCCCACCCCACCAAGCCCCAACAAAACACACCTGCCTTCTTAAAGAGTTCTCACAGAACACGAAACAGACTCCCCCCAATTGGGAAGATGTCTAATCATGGCAGATAATAACAAAGTGAAACCCCAATTATCTTAACAGAATATGAGCTGGCAGAATCACTGAAAAGAGATGTAAAAGTTTCTGGATAACAAGTGATTGTCTCGTGGGACCAAAGTGCTGGAGCCCACAAGAGAGGGGAAGACACTGGGTATGGTGGGAGCACCGGCTCCCGGTACCAAGTGAGCTACTATGCAGGCCAATGCCGAACGGAAGGAAACACCCGTGTGGTATTTGCTTTCCCTTCAACTCCCCGGGGCTCCTCTTCTGTCTAGGAAGAAATGGTTGAGGGAGAAGGGTTGAACAGACTGGTCTTTTCAAGGGGCTGGGAAAAGCATGTGGGAGAGGAGTGGCGGCAGTTGGTGGGGTGGTTCAAGGATTAGTGAGGAGCCCACCAGCTTTACCTCTGAGCCACAGAGACTCTATGTGGAAGCCCTGTTCTCCACACAGAGAAACCGCAGGAGTGGGCTGAGAATGGCCAGAGGTCAAAGCAAAAGCTATCTTTTGCTAGGAAAATCAGAGCTAAGAAATGGTATAGTGGGTCTCTTATTTAAAACAAACCAAAAAACAAAAACAAAAACACAGAAAAAAACAAAAAACAAACCAAAAAACTTTAATATAGCTTTTATGAAAAAGGGGAGAGGAATAGTCTAAAATGTTAAAAATATCTCAACAAATGAAATTTTCTTTCCTTTTTATCTACATTTTAAAATTATTTATTCAAACTATTTCAAATTTTATTACTTAAGTAATTGTATTACATTATATTTTTAACATATGAAAAGAAGAAAAAAATAGGCAGGCAAAAAAATTTGAGGAATTTCTTACAGAGGGCTCCAAAAATCATTACTATAAAACTCTTAAAGTATATCTAGCATGACTCAGCAAGGGACTGCCAGCTAGAAAATTGGTTAAGTAACTTAACTAAGATTAAAAAAAGTGAAAAAGTGAAAGTGAAGTCACTCAGTCGTGTCTGACTCTTTGCAACCCCATGGACTGCAAAGGACACCAGGCTCCTCTGTCCATGGGATTCTCCAGGCAAGAATACTGGAGTGGGTTGCCATTTCCTTCTCCAGGGAATCTTCCCGACCCAGGGATCGAACCCAGGTCTCCCTCATTGCAGGCAGGCACTTTAACCTCTGAGCCACCAGGGAAGCCCAACTAAGATTAAAGGTGTAGTCAAAACAGTAAGTGTCAGCACACACCAATGTCTGCAAATTTGCAAGCAGCCGAAGTTGGAAAGAGCAGACCACAAAAGGCTGCCTGCCTGCCCACTTGCCTGCCCGCCTGCCCGCCTGCCCGCCTGCCAGCCTGCCTTGCCTGCCTGCCCTGCCTGCCTGCCTTGCCTGCCTTGCCTGCCTGCCTGCCCTGCCTGCCTGCCTGCCTTGCCTGCCTTGCCTGCCTGCCTGCCTTGCCTGCCTGCCTGCCTTGCCTGCTTGCCTGCCTGCCTGCCTTACCTGGGGGCAGGCCTCAGGACCCAGGGTGACGGCCCCTGCCCCAGGGCCACAAATACCAGCCTAGGACCCACAGCCCACCCCGCAGAGCATTCAGTAGGGCTCACCCTAAAGCGTCTGAACAAGCCAGATGCAGGCCTGGTGAGCTAGCCCAGTGATCTAGAGCGGCCAATCAGCAGGCAAGGCAGGTTCCCTGGGACTCCTGAGCCTAGGCTGAGAGCCAATCTCCCTGCGAGGTGAGACGGTAGAAATGTGCTATGATGCATACAAGTCCCTTGAGATTGAAGAACAACTTCAGAACTGGCAGACTGACACTGTATCCTCTCAGGATAACTTTCTATTCAGGGAAGATCTGGAAACTAAAAAAATAAATAAATAAAGTGAAAATAAATTCCCGGTTTCCTTACAGGGTCTACCTGCTGCCCAGGACATTCTGCCAAACTGTTAAGTAAACATCAACTAGATGAGAGGGAGGGAACACCTTGATTTGAAAGGGACCTCACCAGGCCTGATTAACCTAGTAGAATTCTTTGAAAGGATAAAAACAATATAATTACAGCAAAACTAGTAGGCAGAATTTCTTATGTCAAAATTCCACCAGAAAAACCAACAAACTATGTGTATGTCTGTCTTTATCTGATTGTTGCTTATGGGAAATCATGAACAACGGCATTTTTTTTTTAAACCACTTACCAGTTCTGGACTAGAACTTGATGCTTTCATAAACTGCCTAGAATGGTAGTTTCCAACCCATAGGGCACCCAACTTCATATCCACAAATGTGCTTCCAGTGACCAGCCGTTAAAAACACCACTACTGGGACTTCCCTGGTGGTGCAGTAGATAAGAATCAGGTTTGACCCCTGGTCCAGAAGAGTCCACAAGCTGCAGGGCAACTAAGACTGTACACCACCACTGCTGAGCCCGAGCTCCAGGGTCCAGGAGCCACAACCACTGAGCCCATGTGCGGCAACTACAGAAGGCCACGCGCCTAGAGCCTGTGCTCTGGAACAAGAGGAGCCACTGCAACTAGAGAGCAGCCCCCACTCACCACAACTAGAGAAAACCTGCACAGCAACAAAGACCCAGCACAGCCAAAAATTAGCTAGGAAAAAAATTAAAAAACAAACAAACAACCCGCTACTGAATAAGAGTCCCTGAAAAAATTAATTTGAAAAGGAGGTATCATATTTAAAATGCTTTGGGAACCAATAATCTAGCAGAAAGTACATTAGGCTGTTAGATTCACAAGGGAAGAGGTTTATCTCTCTTGTTCACCACTGCATTTTCCATTAGGCACTCAATAAATATTTGTTGAAGCAATAAAATGAAACCTTCAAGATTGCAAATGCCTAAAAGCTGTTCCAGAAATCAAAATGCAAAATTAAAAGACAAGTTCTCAGGAGGCTGTATGAATAGGCAAAATTATGGCAAAGAAGCCTCAGTGAAGGCAAACATGAAGGAACACTTAGGGAAAAGCAATTCCAATTACACTTTTAGAATAATGGGTTCTGAGCTAAACTGTTCAATAAAGAAGCATCAGTTTAGACTGTTCTCTTAAGATACCGTGTTGCATGTCTCATCACAGAAAGCCCAGAAAATACTGGACTGTATCAGAAAGGACAGTGGAAACAAAATAAAACTCGTGATCCCACCCTTATTCAGAACCACTCCGTGTCCACAGCAAGATGTGCTGTGAAGTTTTGGCTCCCCACATCTTAAGAAAGACATACCAGGATTGGAAAATGTCCCGAGAAATGAGATTGAGTAGATGGAAGAGCTTTCTAATGAGAGCCTAAAAATCAGAGCTCTATTTTATTCTAGAGATGACGGTTTAGGGGTAAGGGGGAGCATAACTTAAATATAGGTTTATTCACCAAACCTCAAACACTGGAGAGTAGAAGGCTGCATTTTTGAAGTCTGAAGTAAATAAAGATATAGGTCCACAACAACATAATCCCTTAGTCAGAAAATATACTGAAATTGCTAAAGGAAAAATACATAAATGTGGTAACATCCACATTGACTCAAATCTAGGAAAAAAATTTTTAATGGCTCTAAGAAACTGAAAACTTGGTGGCCTGTTTTTCTTAACAGCGTTAAGTTCAGAAACAACAGATTAATGAGCGTTCAATAATAGGACATCAAGTGGGGGAGAGGCCCTCCAAATCTAAGAAAAGTCTGATCTCTATTCAGTACAATCTGTCTAATCAGACAAGGCAACAAATAATATCACAGATTTATAGAACAATGAAAGTGAAAGGCCACATGATTTAGGGAACACTGGGCCGTGAGACCACAAAGACAAGTTTCTTTGCATCTGCCACTGCCTGCTGAATGAAGACTACAGGAAAGGATGAAGATATGTGTATTTCACAACCTGCAGGTGAACTCTTGACACTGCTCCCCCATATGATCAAATGTGGTGTAAATATTGACATCATCTATGTTCAATTATTGTTATCAACAGTTAAAGGTTTAAAAGTGAATAAATAGAAGTTACCCTCACCTTTTTAATTTAGAAGGAGCATCCCAGGGGATAAGAGAGCAAAAAATAACTCAATCTGTATGAAAGCACAGAGGAAGAGAAAGATTACTTAGCAGATACTAAGAAAGCACTTGAGTTGGTTCCCAGGTGGGAGAACTTCTGAACCAAGATGGAAGCTGGACAAAAGAGAGAATGAGAATGAGCAAGCAAGCTGCTACTCCCATGACCTGCAGCAACATCAGTCTAGACGTTCAGAAATATCAAAAAAAAAAAGACATTGCTGCTATGGGGCTAGAGATGGGAGCTCAGTGAAACTTTAGCTGGATCAAAGGAAACAGGAAGAACTACTACCCTTCACCAATTAACTGTGTGAGGATCTTGGGAAAGTCTTGGCTTAATATGTAAAATTAAACTAACTTGAAGGACCTCTGAGAAACTGAACAGGCTAGGCTACAAATTAAAACTATTGGATTTCTATGTAAAACTTGAATCCTAAAGAAGACAGGCAGACTCTCTCTACCACACATATACTATTGCCCTCCTCAATACATACCTGAGGCCTCCTTACAGATCTAAGTGACCCCAAGTCATGGACGTTCTGAGTCGGTCAGTGGCCAGTGCCTCATTTCATGAGGCATTTCATTTCAACAGCCAAAGAGTCTCAGCTGTATACAAGAAAACAGTGTCCCAATGGACCCACACAAAAATGACCCCCATTTGTCTCTGTCTGGTCTTTGCCAGGATGATTGCTATAAAATGCTTATCTGATCCCATCTCAAAATCACATCACCTTCAGAACAGAGTTCAAAATCTTCCCCAGCAGGCAGAATCCATTCCCATCTGATCTGTGCCCACCTCTCCAGCCACTGCCCAGGGTACCTTTCAGTTACTAGTGCTTCTTTTCAACTTTCTTGTGCCTGTGGGTCAGAGCTCAAGCTGTCCCCCTCACTGGCCCTCAGCATAAACCTGACCCAAAACCGCCCTCATCCCAGAGCTCGTGCTGCAGGGCCCCTCCTCCTGGATGCCTTTTCCAAAGAGTCTGCCCTTCTCTCGCCCTGCGGCAGCGCTGCCCAGGGGGCTGGGATCATGTCCTCTACCTCCACGGCTGGGCCCTGACGCACCTGGCCCCCAGTGGCATGTGCGCTGTCACTGGCCCCACCCCTCCCAGAACCTTTTCCTGAGGGCCTTCAAACCCTGGCTGACACACCTGTCCCTGCCTGCCCTGCCCAAGGTGTCCCTACCTTTCTCCCTCTCTAGGCCCTTCCACCCCCAACCAAAAATTACATTTCCCAGGAAGAGAACTGCAGTGCAAGCATTCTGACAAGACTCACAGGATGTAAGAGCTGAAGTGGACCTCAGGAATGACCTGGTCCAGGGACTTCGGAATACCTGTCTGCAGACTGCTGATGGACCCGCTGCAAAAGAATAACACAGGGAGTGACTTCACAAGAGAATCCCAGGTTCCACTGTGGCAACTCTGATTCATTGGGCCTGGGACAGATCCCTGCATTGGTTTTCAAAGCTTCCCAGTTGATTCCAGGGCTCTGAGCCAGTATAAGCTGTTTGTTTTATTCGTGAAGAACTGAGGCTCAGAAAGAACAGGCTCACCCATCTCATGATGACGCAACGCCCAGACTTGCGCGGGCACCGAGGACACAAAGGGAAGGCCCAGACCCTGCTGTTGAGCGCCTTCCCCGCTACAACCCACTGAAAACGCCCCGCAGCCACATACCTGTAGGCGCCCCCAGACACCCATCAAGGGGACGCGGGCATCCTAGGCGAGGGAGGGAGGCGGACTTTCTCTGACTGTCCCTGTCAGAAGTCACCCCACACTCCCTTGTGCTCCTGTCTGTTTCACTTATGGCATCACTGCCTACCTTTATTTCAGCTACTTCAGAACCTTCTGCTTCTTCATAAGCCCCTCAGGAGGCACTCACATCATTGGTTAATTGGGATCTCTCAATTCTAGACTTAGCTTTCTACCTGGAGAGGCATCTCCAACCCAACGTGGCCAAAATCTAACTCTTGATTTCCTCCTACCTTCTTTCTCACTCAGTAAATGTCAACTCAAGCCTTCCAGATGCTTAGGCCAAACCTCTGCATCCTCAAATCCTCTCTTTCCTCTCATAACCTTCATCTAAATCCATAAGCAAATTCCAGCAACTCTACCTTCAAAAATCCAACCACTTCTCAGCACCTCCAATCATCTTCTCCTCTTTCCTGGATTCCCACAAAAGCCTGCCTGCCTGATCTCCTTGACTCTACTGTTGTTGTTGTTCAGCCATAAGTCGTATCCAACTCTTTGCAACCCCATGGACTGCAGCCTGCCAGGCTCCTCTATCCATGGGATTCTCCAGGCAAGAATACTGGAGTGGATTGCCATGCCCTTCTCCAGGGGATCTTCCCAGCCCAGGGATCGAACCCATGTCTTCTGCATTGGCAGGTGGATTCTTTACCAAAGAGCCACCAGGGAAGCCCCCTTGCCTCTACTACTCATTGTCAATGCAGCAGCCAGAGCGCTGCTTTTAAAACACTCACCAGATCATGTTCCTCCTCTCCTCAAAACCCTTCCACGTCGTCCCATTTCATGCAGAGTAAAGTCCAGTCTTCATCCTAGCCTACATGCCCAGGATGATCTAACAGTTCCTCAACCATGCAAGGCAAACTCCTGCTCTGAGTCTCTGCATTTACTATTCCTCTGCTTGGGATGTTCCTCCCCTCAGATTTCTGTGGGCTCACTATTCTCTCCCTTCAGGTCTTTATTCAAACATCACTTTGTTAGGAGCCTTCAGTGACCACTATGCATAAGCTTCCAATCCCCACCCTCACCATCCATTTCTGTCCCTTCAGTCTGCTTTGTTTTTCCTCATGGCCCTTAGACCATCTGACATTTTATAATTGCTCATCTCTCTGTTGTCCGTGTACAGGCTCCACTCCGTTTGCTAGACGCTAACCCTGGTTAGAAAGGGGGAATAATGCAACAGGCTCATCTGTCCAGAACTAAGATTGTTCAAGGATAGTACAGATTCCTAAGCAGATTTATTACCAGTCTAGCAGCTGGCAAATTTGCTATGTTATTTGTGTTTAGCTTTTAAAAATCTATTATAAGTAGAGAGAAACTGAGTGGTGATGGAGCCTTGCCAGTGGGAAGGGTCTGTCTGAAGCAGCACTTGTCTATGAATTGGAGGCCTCTGTGGGACTGTTTAAGTTAAATATTTTATTGGTGGAAACTGCCTACTGGCCACTGTCCCCACAATAAGGTCATCTGTCTTGAGGATGGGATCAGTGTGATGCCAGCAGAGGGGGAAGACTAGCTCTGAGATGATGAGGACATGGGGTGGTCTGGAATATTAAGAAAACAGGATACAACCCTGTGACTACACCAAAAATCACTGAATTCATGCACTTTACATGGGGGAATTGTATGTGATGTGAATTACATCTCCATAAAGCTGTTAGATTCTTAGAAAAGACAGAAAGAAAGGAGGATAGAACTGAAAGGAAGCAAGGTTATAAAGGACTGTAACACTGCCAGCAATGATACAAGTGGAAACTAGGTGTAGGCAACAAAGTTGAAGCAGAAGTAAGAACCAAGATAAAAACAGATACGTTGTAACCAGTACCCCCTTTCCTTTCATTACTTGAAACAGATCCCAGCAGGAGCAAGTACTACGAGAAGCCACTTTGTTAAAAGGGAACAGGGACCCAGGGACTGAGTAAAAAGGAAGATAGGGCTCCTGCTGTCCACACGCCATCCTGAGGAGTCCCCACCCACTGAACTTTATAAAAGCATCATCTCTTGATAGCAGAGACCCCCAAACTTGGACGAGAAGCCTCAGACCTACTGGGAATCGAGCACTCACTCCCAGAACAAAAGGTCTCCTCTGGTACCCATGGCGGCTCTGCGTGTGTCACCAATCTCATCCACACGGGCAAACAGAGTTCCCAGATTTAAGGGTTGGGGTGAGGGGCAAATGTGCTGTTAGTTTTGGGGTGTCTCTGCAGCTCCCTAGCTCACTACAGAGTTCGGGAGTCGGAGAGTCAAAGGCCTGATCCAGGCTGCCTCTCCCAACTGCTCTGCTCTCACTCCCCATTTCTTGTCCTCACAGCTCCACACACAAACATATACTCTTCTCCTTCCTCTCCCTCTCCCATCCCCGATTCCCTCCTCCACGCCCCCCCATCCCTCCATCCCCTCCTCTCTCCCTCCTCCACGCTTCCTCCATCCCCTCCTCTCCTCCCCTCTTCTCTCCCTCCTACACACCCCTCTCTAACCCTCTGCCCCTTCTGTCGTCCCCCTCTCCTTCCTTCATGCCCCCCTCCGTCCCCTCCTCTCCCTCCTCCATCCCTCCGTCCCCTTCTCTCTTCCCCTCCTCTCTCCCTCCTCCATCCCTCCGTCCCCTTCTCTCTTCCCCTCCTCTCTCCCTCCTCCATCCCTCCGTCCCCTTCTCTCTTCCCCTCCTCTCTCCCTCCTCCATCCCTCCGTCCCCTTCTCTCTTCCCCTCCTCTCTCCCTCCTCCATCCCTCCGTCCCCTTCTCTCTTCCCCTCCTCTCTCCCTCCTCCATCCCTCCGTCCCCTTCTCTCTTCCCCTCCTCTCTCCCTCCTCCATCCCTCCGTCCCCTTCTCTCTTCCCCTCCTCTCTCCCTCCTCCATCCCTCTGTCCCCTTCTCTCTTCCCCCTCTCTCCCTCACACTTTCTTCATTACCCCCTTCCTCCGCTCTTTTCTCTCCTTCTCCTAAAAGAGATCTGGGTGGGCTCTTCCACATGTCTGCTCAGATCCCAGGCAGCACGCCTCCTGCATGAACACAGGGCCCCAGCCAAGGCAGCTTTTCAGCAACAGCCTGGCATGGCAATGGACTTGACATCCAGGTGTTCACATGTGTGCCCACTACATATGTCTCTGGTGAGCCACGGGAATGACAGGGAATAATGTGCTCAAGAGGATATCTCTATGTGCCCTTCCACCATCAGACAAAATGGAATATTAAAAGTGCTTATCTTTTAAAGATATTATCTGTAAAATGTTCACAAATAAAATGATATGATGTTTGGGATTTGCCTCAAAACAAACACAGGGCAGAAGGAAGAGGGAAGAGAGACAAGACTGGCCATGAACTGATAACCGCTAGACCTGCTGTGAGGAAACATGGGCGTTTATTATGTTATTTTCTCGGCGTATGCACATTTCAACATACTAGGGGCCAGACTCTTGGAGAGTGGACTCTACAGGTGCAACTAGCCAACCTCCAAGGTCATACCCATTAAGATGGCTATTATCAAAAAACAAACAAAACAAAAACAGAAAACAGCAAGTGTTGATGAGAAAGTGGTGAAGAAATCAGGGTCCTTATGAATTGGTGGTGGGAATGTGCTGCTCTCCACAGTGGCTACATTTACACAAACAAGTGGATCTAACACTTCTACTTCTAGGCATACAGCCAAAAGAACTGAAAGGGGCCTCAAAGAAGTATTTGTAAATCTATGTCCATAGCAACATGATCCACAATGTCCAAAAGGTGGGAAAAAACAAAAGACAAAATAACCCAAGGATCCCACTTCAGTATTCTTGCCTGGAAAAGTCCATGGACAGAGGAGCCTGGCAGGTTGCAGTCCATGGGGTTACGTGACTGAGCATGTGTGCACGAGGGTGGAGGGAGGTGGGTTGATAGCAATAAACTGGTAGAACTAAAAGAAAAAAAACCCAAGGACCCATCAATGGATGAATGGGTCAACAAATGTGATATAAAAGGGAGCATTACTCAGTCATAAAAAGGACTGAAACTATGATACAGGCTAAAACATGGGTGAACCTTAAAGACAATATGCTAAATGAAATTAGCCAGATACAAAAAGACAAACATGGCATGATTCCACTTAATAAGAAGTACCTAGAGTAGTCAGGGGATAAGGGGAGGAAAGTATCAGGGATCATTATCTAATGGTACAGAGCTTCAGTTTGGGATGATGGATAGGTTCTAGAGATGGATGGTGGTGATGGTTATGTAGATGTCCTTAATGCCACTGAATGTACATTTTTAAATGGTTAAAATGGTTTAAATCAACTATACTTCAATAAAAATAATAATGAAAACACTCAAAAAATTCTAGGATCCCTTTTAAAAGTGGTTAAAATGGTCAATTTTCTTATGTATATTTTACCACAATTTTTTAAAATAATAACAGCTACCAAGGAACATGAAAATAAAAAAAAAAATCACTGTGTCCAGACTTCCAGCTCTTCAAGGTCAGCTCAGATGAACCTAGACATCATACCTCAGTGAGGCTCTCAAAACAAGGGCGTGGTAGGTGTTGCTGGGGGTGCAGAGCTGTGGAGAAAAGAACAGCTTCTACCTAGGCACATGGTCTAGTTTCCAAATACCACCTAGGAAAGAAGAAAATAAAATGTCTTTTAATAGGCCTGAAGGGCAAACATTAAAGTTAATAATAATAATAAAGTGTAGGTCAGACCCTGAGAAAAATCTCCAAATGTAGTTCAAAGCATGCTCAAATGTAACCCAAGATAAAACCTTCCCCAGTGCCAAAAGGACTTCCCAGGTAGCCCAGTGATAAAGAATCCACCTGCTAACGCAGGAGACAAAGGAGATGCAGCTTCGATCCCTGGGGTGGGATGATTCCCCTGGAGAAGGCAACCCACTCCAGTATTCTTGTCTGGGAAATCCCATGGACAGAGGAGCCTGGAGGGCTACAATCCATAGGACTCTCAGAATCAGACATGACTGGGCAACTAAACAACAACAGTAACAACAGTCCCAGATCCTCTCCTTTTTGCTTATCACAGTGTGGTGGTTCAGAGTCCAGACTGCCCGGATTCAAATCCCAGTTCTGCTACTTACTGGCCATGTGACCTTGGACAGGTTTCTTGACCTCTGTGTCTCAGTTTTCCCATATGTAAAATGGGAATTACAGGAGTTAAATGAGGTAGTATTCATAAAACTCTTACACTGCCTTAAACATATCAAATACATGTGTTTGTTAGGTATATTGTCACCAATCTCAGTGGCCAGTAAGGTTCACCTCATAATTCTTCAGAGTGCCCCTGCAGACAACTGAATCCCTAAACATCAGACTTCCTGGAGACACGTACAGGGGACAGAGACAGGACATGTGAAGGCTGGTTACCCCTCATCACAGCTGACCCCCCAGTGCTCAGGAAGGCCACAGAAGCAGAGGGCCAAGAAGTGTGCAAGGCGTCTGGGGCAGGCAGGCTGGGAAGAGTCACAGGTGTGGGAGAGACAGGGAAGGGACAAGCACCCAGCAGGGGGCGAGGACAAGAGGGAAGATGTGGGAAAAGCTGGCAGACCCTTCTTTGTTTTAGCTAAGTGGTCCTCAACTATACCTGGACAATGGAACCGACTCGGGAACCTTGGAAATGGCCACAGCCCCCCAAGATTCCAGTGTAACAGGCCCGTGTGGAGAAACCCTCAGGTGCACGCACACACAAGTGACAGAACAAAAAGTCTCATTTCTAATTCTGCTCACTCTCACTCTAATTCCACATTCCCTCGCTTGGCTTCATTTCTGTTTTAACTTTGATAGACTAGCATTTGATTGGAGTCTAAATAGAGATACAGACACTATTAGTAGAAAAATTTATAAGGGAATGGAAGGAAACTCATTATCCCAATTCTACAGAAGGGAAACATAGAAAACTTGATTTTTCTTATTTGGACCTCATGTTTTCAAAATATAAACAAGTAGAAACCATGCTTCCACATGAGGATAAAGTCTAAGGCCAGGGGATGGGGTAGGTGATGTCTTAGATGTGATGCCCAAAATGAGTTAGTTCCAAGGTACTCCAATGAGAGTGACTGATTCTTTATCCCAGGGTACCCTCAGTTCCTGCCAACACTGGAGTCTTCCAGGTTATTCAGACCATCTCTGCTGCCCAGTAACAGCCTGGCTGCACACAGAGGTGGCAAACCTGAGCATTAGGCTCCAATGACCCAGGCTGGCTGGTTCTCTCGGGTCACCCTACATCCTACACACACGTAGATTTATAGGAGCTTCACCATTTATAAAACACTACTGCCACTTCACAGGGAACTCTCAGTTGAGTGGCAGAAATCAAGACTCAAGCTCAGGCTCCCAGGTGCCTCCAAGGACCAGAGTGCCCTTCCACCCAGGGACTCTGAACCAAGAGGTCTGACTTCACACTGCAGGTACCCAACCACCTCATCTTCCCAAGGTGCTATTGTATATGGCACACATTTTCCTTCAACTGGTATTGAGACACTCACTACAGCCATTGCCATAATTATGACACACCTCAGGGTGTTGTAAGACTGAGGTTAGAAAACAATGTACTCAAACACTGTTCTAGATTAGAAGTTCTTCCAACACCAGAAAGATTAAAACTGTCAGAGCCCAGGAGATTCTAGGAAGCCATTAAATTTAAGCTGCCAACTCTACAAGCAAGGAAATGAAGGCCCAGAGAGGTGAGATAATCAAATGAGATAAAGGACATAAACTGAAAAGAGTTTTATTACTGTGGAAGATTCCTGTTATTCCCAGCAAGGCCACTGGCCCTGCCTAAGCTTCCCAGAGTGCCTGTAGTCTCCAACTCACAATTACCATCCAAATCTTCCCATCCAACACCCAGCATTAAGCTTATTAACCCTTAGACCAGTGATTCTGGTCCTGGAAGCACATGAGAAACACCCAGGGAGCACTGTTAATACCTAACCCCACCTCAGACCAACTAAATCAGACTCTTTAAGAGTGGGACCAAGGATTTTTTAGAAAACAATGCAAAGGACTGATAGTGTCTGGGGTTGTGAACCACAGTCTTTAGACCAAAGTATATACTCCGGGGACCTCTGGCCTCAAAAATCAGCCTGCAATCTTGTTAATAATGCAGACTTCTGGGTCCACCTGGAGACTGACTCCACGGAAGAAAAGAGCATCCCAGGAACCTGAGGCTGGCTGGAGAGTCACAGAGCTGGCACTGAGTGAGTCCTGGAAATCACACCCGTGTTCCAGCTGACCCTGTGGTCTGGGATGGCCCCAGCAGCTTGCCTGGCAAAGTCTCCCAGATGATTTAGACTTTGGTTTGCTTGGACTGCAAGGAGATCCAACCAGTCCCTCCTAAAGGAGATCAGTCCTGGGTATTCATTGGAAGGTCTGATATTAAAAGCTGAAACTCCAATACTTCGGCCACCTCATGTGAAGAGCTGACATATTTGAAAAGACCCTGATGCTGGGCAAGATTGAAGGCAGCAGGAGAAGGGGACAACAGAGGATGAGGTGGTTGGATGGCATCACCGACTCAATGGACATGAGTTTGGGTGGACTCCGGGAGTCGGTGATGTACAGGGAGGCCTGGCATGCTGCAGCTCATGGGGTCGCAAAGAGTCGGACACGACTGAGCAACTGAAATGAACTGTCCCTCTCTAAGCTGAGAGCCCCTGCAGATACCCCATGGCATCAATCCCCAGCAGCTGCAGCAAAACTTTCAGAAAGGATGGCAAAGTCTATCATGGTTCTGCATGGCCAACCCGGGCCTCCCATCTCACCCAGAGCTAAGGCGCAGGCCCCCACAAGAATCTACAAGCCCAGTGGGACCACCCCGGCCCCCTCTCCCGTATCTGCCCCTTCTTCTCTCCAGCTTTTCCTCTCCACTAACTGCGCCTCCCTCACGGCGCCTTCTCGCTCCTTCAGAGCTCTGCTCAAATGTCCTTTATCACGGAGATGTCCCTACTTCAGGCAGAAAACCTGCCTCCCCACCAAACCTCTCTGCCCTCCATCCCTGCTTTGTTTTTCTCCATAATACTTTTCACCACCTCTCAACCTTCGTTTTCCTTATTACCTGTAAGCCTTCACACACTAGATCACGAGCTCCATGAAAGTTAAGACTTTTGTTTATTTTCTTCTGTGTTACCGTCCCAGTACCTATCATGCCTGGCACAAAGTAGACACCCAAATATTGATTCTAGGAGTTAATACCTTAGAAACACCAATCTCAAAACATGATTTGTACTAAAAGATCATCAAGGAGCTGATCGTGCAGAAATCACTTCTCCACTCATCTCATCTTAGCCGAAGCCTTTTTAAAAACAGGCTAAAACCCTAATGAAACAGAGACCATTTAGAAATAAGGATTTCCAGTCAATTAACCCAGTCCAGATGGGCCTGTGAGTCAGGGACAACTTGTTCTGAGGAACAGACAAAACTATGGAGACAGAAAATACAGTGGAAAGAAGTTAGCCAGATGGATGGATTTCAGATACTGCCCTGGTATCCGTGCAGGTTCAAAAGAAAACCTGAGCACACTCACAGCCCTCTTCCCACAGGGAAGTCTCCAGCAGACCAGAGAGGACAGGCAGGCTCCCATCCGGGCTGAGTTGGCAACATGCAGGCCCAGCGCAGGATACAACCGCCTGCTCTGCACAGAATGAGCCGTCAAACGAACACACCTGAGGGGGACCCATCTCTTTCCCTGCACCCACTTATCTCCACCTGCTTCCAAAACTCATCCGAAACCACAGACAATAAGCTCTACCAGGCTGGGAGCACAGAAGCTTTAGTCAAGGCCTCACAGCAGCTGGGGAGGATCCCGCTGTTCCCAGGTCTCACTGAGGTCCTCGGTGCTGCTTCCTGCCTCCATCTTAGTCCTTGCTAACCTCTCTCCTCGCCAGCTCTGGTCTCTTCCCACAGTCGTCCTATGTGTCTCTATAAGACCAGTCTTCCCCCAAACACCATTTTTATCAGTCATCCACTCTGTTCAAAAATCTACAATAGTTTCCTGTGGCCCATCACATCAGCTGCAACCCCAATGCCAGGCTTTTGAGAACCTCCGTAACCCAACCTAAGCATTGACCAAGTCTCCCAACTTTGCATTTCAACAGCTGCTTCTTCACCTACCTCAAAGCACCAAATCACTGCCTTCACCTTCAACAGCACCGGTAAGAAACCAGATTGCAGAGACTGGAACAGACCACGTCTCCAATTTCCATTCCTGCCAAAAGCGTCCTCACTGTCCACACCACCCACACCCATTCCCCCACCCCAGCTTCTATTATGCTGTTTGTTTGTTATTTGGATATTTTTGGCCTTGCTACATGGCTTGTGGGATCTTAATTCCCCAACCAGATATTGAGCCTTGGCCCTCAGCAGTGAAAGCAGAGTCCTAACCATCAGCCCACCGGGGAATTTCCCCCCTCCTCCCGGCCTCTAGTCCCACCACCCTTTCCCTCTTGATTTCCACCACACACACACACACACACACACACACACACACATCTATGCTCATTCATTCAATCAATAACATTAGTTGAGCACCTACTACATACCAGGCCTTATTCTAGCCACCGTGGACACCACAGAACAAAGTCCCTCCTCACACAATGAGGACATTCCACTAGAAAAAAGCAAATTCATATGTCAGGTAGTCATACAGCCTTTCTCAACAGGAATTCAACTGAAGTCAGAAATTGGTAAGACTACGTTCTCAATTCTGAAGCAACTGAGAGAGCAAGCCACGTGAATACAGCAAAGAGGTTTTAGGCAGAAGAAAGAGCAAGTAGAAAGCCCTGAAGCAGCAAAGTGTTTGGTGCATGCAAAGAACCTGAACCAGAGCAGGGCTGTGACAGGAGATGGAGATGGGAAGCAGATAATGAAGGGCCACTGCGAGGACTAATGTTCACTTTCAGATGGAAGGCTAGGGGAGAACATGGGGTAGGGGAGTGACCTGCCCTGACTTTCACTGTAAAAAGATCACGCCACTCTGCCATCTATCAGGAAGTAAAATTATGAGGGACTTGTTTTCCTGAATGTTTCAAAATCTTCTAAACTGAGTATGCATGCATGCTAAGTCGCTCAGTCATGTTTGACTCTTTGCAACCCTTCGGACAGTAGCCTGCCAGGCTTCCCCGTCCATGGGATTCTCTAGGCAAGAATACTAGAATGGAAAGGAGAAGAGGGCATTAGAGGATGAGATGGACGGACGGCATCACCAATGCAATGAACATGAACTTAGGCAAACTCTGGGAGATGGTGAGGGACAGGGAGGCCTGACTTGCTACAGTCCATGGGGTTGCAAAGAGTCAGACACGACTAGGTGACTGAACAACAAACAACACACACACACATAGTGAAGTGAAGTCGCTCAGTTGTGTCCGACTTTTTTACGACCCCATAGACTGTAGCCTGCCAGGCTCCTCCATCCATGGGATTTTCCAGGCAAGAGTACTGGAGTGGGTTGCCATTTCCTTCTCCAGGGGATCTTCCCAACCCAGGGATCGAACCTGGGTCTCCTGCATTGTAGGCAGATGTTTTTACCATCTGAACACACACACATATCCACTCTTTTTTAGACTCTTTTCCCATATAGGCCATTACAGAGTATTGCATAGAGTTTCCTCTGCTATACAGTAGGTCCTTGTTGTGTGTGTGCTCAGTCATATCCAACTCTTTCCAACCCCAGGACCGTGGCCTGCCAGGCTTCTCTGTCCATGGGATTTCCCAGGCAAAAATACTGGAGTGGGTTACCATTTCCTTCTCCAGGGGATCTTCCTGACCCAAGGATCAAACCCAAATCTCTTGCATTGGCAGGCAAATTCTTCACCAGTGAGCAACCGAGGAAACCCTATTTTATATATTTTATATATAGTAATGTGTATACATCAATTCCAATTTCCCAATGTATCCCTCCCCCGTAACCCTCTGGTAACCATACCATATTTTTTAAATGAAGGAAAAACAAACATCTAATCCTTTAAGCTGCTTGCTGCTTAGTCACTCAAGTCATATCCGACTCTTTGCGACCCACTGGACTGTAGCCTGCCAGGCTCCTCCGTCCATGGGATTTCCCAGGCACGAGTACTGGAGTGGGTTGCCATTGCCTTCTCCAGGGGATCTTCCGATCCAGGGATGGAAGCGGTGTCTCCTGTGTCTCCTGCACTTCCTGCACTGCAGGCGGATCCTCTACCTGCTGAGCCATCCATCAGCGAAGTCCTTTATGACTGAGCCCAAATTCCACCTCCACCTCAAAGTCCCCTGTACCAGTGCGAGGCCGTTCGACACCCCACGCCCAGGCAGCAGGACCACGAGGGCGGCCCCGGCAATAGCAGCGCGTGCCCACAGCAACTAACGTTCACAGAAGTTTCCTGTGCTGCCCATACTCCTCCTGGCACACAGAACATGTCCCTTTGGACACTCTTGCCCCCCAAGTGCCTGCTGGGTCCCAGTCTCTCTCCCCATTGACTTAATTAACACCTGGTAATTAAAGCTACTGTTTAGTGATGAACTGTTGAGAGACTGACCTCTCCCACAGGGTGTAAATATCTTAAAAGGGGACTCTAAGGGGAAATGCAGACATCTTCAGACTCAGGGGAATGGTGGAATGATAGGCACTGGGGCTCACTGGGGATATGGGTAGGTGCCTGCCTTCTAAGGGCATAGGTGCTTAGAAAAGCAACGTCAAAGGGAGACAAATGGGGTCACAAAAAATGAGATTACATCATTGCCACCACCTCCCTCCTCCCAAACAGCCACTGAATCCATTCTGGGTACCAGGGAATGTTCCCCAGAGGTAACCCCAGCCATCTCAGAGGGTTGACTGGTGTGAAAGTAACCACCACCCTCAGAAACAAAATCCCTCTTAAGACACGTCTGGCCTGGAAGCAAATTGTTCTCTAATTGCTTTCAGTGGGGAAACTCCTTGAGGGCAAAGTTCATCTCACATGATACTTTATGCTCCACGCAGCATCCAGCTCTGTCTGGGCTGGGCCCAGGGTGGGCCTTACAAAAGCAACTGTAGATAACTGATCAGTGATGGCCCAGTGGCAAAAAGGCTCCAGAGGATTTTAAATACAAGCAAGCATTCTAACCAAGGACATTCTAACCAACAGTGGTATTAATCAGACACCTAATATTTTTAAGGGCCTGAAGATATATAGCTTTAATGAAGGCTCAAGCAGTGAAGCTGTTTTTACAACCCCAGCCAGTTCAGTTCAGTTCTGGAGAGTCTGTCTAACAAGGCAAAGGCAGAGAGCAGCCCCTGTCCACACAGACCCGAGCCTCAGCTGGGTCAAGCCCCAGAAGAATCTGAACAGCTGCTCATTACCCATCCTGGACTCCCTTCTCCTCCAAAAAATTCATTCTACTTGTCAGCTCCTCCCAAATGGGTGCAGCCCTGGCTCCCTGAATTAAGAAAGCATTCCTATCAGAGGTCCTAGCCTAATTCACTGCTGGGGAGAACATGTCTTTACTGCACATCTAACAAAGACAGCGGCCAAAGAGGGGTGGCCTGGTTCAACACCATACCTCTTCTAGAGGAATGCAGTTCTGAGCAGTAAGAGTTTTTGCTTTAGGGCATTCAATGTCTGTCTCTAAAATTAAAAACAGGTCTACTGGTTATTTTCTTTTTGTAAAGATGACATACAAGCTCATAGAAAATTCAAATGATAGGCCAAAATATAAAGAAAAGAGTAAAAACCACTCCAATTCCACCACTCAGTGGTAAAATCTTAGAGCAAGCTCTGTTCTGCAGAGAAGTGAACCCATTCTGAGTTAAACCTAGGGTGTTGCTCTTGCCTTCCTGGATAAGCCTGTGGATTTTGTTTTTGCAGAAGACAATTAATGCTACCACTGAAATACTGGAAAAAATTTCATGGGTCTCCAATATTCCTGGAGCTCACAAATGGACATAACAAAGTCACACAGACCCCTTATCCCACATGCATACTGACTCGAGGCCAGGAGCTCATCTGTTCGGCAGACATACCCCTTTTTTCACTCAACATGGCAGCAGTCTTTCTACAATCGATCATGTAAATAGAGCATGTATGCAGAGCTCCAGCACATCCCCTGGAGCATGTCAATGACAGGAAGGGGGACAGACACCATACCTCTTGATACAGCACCTTCAGAATCTGAAATGGAGAATCTGGGTAAAAGTGACTTTACCCAGGGTCACCCAGCCAACAGAGGACAGCTGTTCTCCAAGTGCTGATGCATTTGAGGAATGACTCTGAGGTGACACCGAACTCAGAAGGTGCTCATTAACTTTTCTTTCAGTCATAAAAGGGATCAGATGTGTCATTTCAACACACACATAAACACTTCCCACTGTCAAATAAAAATGAATGGTTGGCTGAAGTAGCACTTTTATCCCTAAAAACATTTCTCAGAATTAAAAAAAAAAAAACTAATGGACATCCCCTCTTCCACTCCTAAAGCATGAAGCGGGAGAATACTGGACCAGATGCCCACAGCCGGAGACACACACAGATTGTGGGCACATGACCAGATGCCCACAGACGGAGACACACACAGCCTGCGGGCACACAACCAGCTGCCCACAAACAGAGACACACACAGCCTGCAGGCACACAACCAGCTGCCCACAGACAGAGACACACACAGCCTGCGGGCACACGACCAGATGCCCACAGACGGAGACACACACAGACTATGCACACATGACCAGATGCCCACAGACGGAGACACACACAGACTGTGGGCATACACCACTACTCCACCTCACAGACATCAACACTTGGAACGCTCTCCTATTTGGGATGCTCCTATTTTTGTAGGAAAAGAAAAAAGTTAAAACCATTTACACAGAAAGATAGAGCTGGAGAAAAAGATCTAATAAAAACACTAAATATTAAAATGCTAACAGTAGATCTAGGTTATAGGGTTTATCATTTTTATTTAATTTGTATACCTATCTGCATTGCCTAAATTTTCTACATGAATGTCCTTTAGAGTTTTAAAAGAAAAATAATTAATCCATAATCTAGGTTGGTCTATTTGTATTTTGCTTTCCACTGTAGAAAAATACAGATTGAGAACTCTAGGGGGTCCACCACTCTTTCCAGTTTTGCAGAAGCAGAAGTGTTAAGATGAAGCTCAAACCACATGAAGATTCCCATGCAATAGGAAGGCTCACCATGACCAAGGCTGAGTAGAGGGCAAGAATTAGTACCTTCTTTTCTGTCCCCCATGTGTAGGCAAGATGAAAATCCTAAACCAAACTCTCCTTCAGGTGCAACTCCAACCCACCCCCACCCAACCTCTTTCAAGAGTTCACAGACCTCTGCTCTCAGAGCAACTTCCAATGTACCTGTCCACAATCATCCCTTGGCCACAAAATTACCCATACCACTTGGTATCTGCATACCTTCCCCAGTAACCCAATCCTAGGGAGCCCCTTTTGCAATACTTTATTTCTAAAAAAGTTATTCCTCAAACAAACAAAAAAAAAAGTTATTCCTCCTTTTCCTTAAGTTTCACAAACACAGGATCCCATTCAAATGATACAGAATTATTCATTCCATCAACTAATAAACATTGTTAACTTCACTGTATAGAGCTTTAGGGCAAGGTTACATTAACAAAAAAAGGTTAGTATTCATGGAACCTGAGAAAAACAAATGGGAATCGAGGAGCAAGAATTTGTTAGTATGTCCGAGCCCTGCCCAGAAGTTAGCGGGTGGGGGTAGGGAGGGCCATGACCAGAGGACAGAAACATCTGTCATTCTGCAGTTTCATTTCTCAAGGCTAGTTAATACTCTGATTTTTTGCATCAGTCTCTTCCAAGTTTGGTTAGTCAGTCTCCCTGGATCTCAATCAGCTCCACGTGGCCTACAAAACTGAATTTCAGGGCTTCCCTGGTGGCTCAGTGGTGAAGAACCCACCAGTCAATGCAGGAGACAACAGATTTGATCCCTGGTCCCGGAAGAGCCCACATGCTATGGATGTGGTGCAACTGAAGTCTGTGCACCACAGCTATTGAACCTGTGCTCTAGAGGCCAGGAGCCACAACTACTGAGCCCACGTGCTGC